CAGTGACGAAGCCTACAGTCTGCGAGCGCGGCAAGACTGATGTGTTGACGAGGTAGTATAGCAAGCCATGTAGATATTCGAATCAAGTGAAGACACATCGAGATCAACGTTGTACAAATCTCGCAACATCTGAGCACTCGCCATTTCATTTCAAAGTAGATAGATGTGGCGGAGATTCGGAAGAGTCATATCAGCGATTGTGTCGTCTGATGTTCTGTACACACTCGCGCAAGATCCAAATTCGACTACGATACAATTTGTTGCAAATGAGTTCATCATCTTTGACGACGCAGGTGCTAATCTGCTGGCATTTGTGACACTCATGGACGCTTCGAAGCTCAGATTATTGAGCAGACGAACAGCACAGCAGCACCGAATGTTTCATCGTTGATGACTGAGCAGACATTGTGCCGCTGCATGCAATACAATAGAGCCAAATAATCAACACATCGACAAACTAACTTTGTGCAATAAATTTGTTAAAAAGGCGATGCGTCGAATGCATAATGTTCTTGTATCTCGCGTACGCCTTATTATAGACGTTGGTCCGCGTTGATCCGGATGCTGAGTGTGCTGTCGGCTTCAAGTCAAGTAAAAATGAGAGCGTATCAGTGACGTAGTATGGGGGTATACTACAATGCACCTGTACGCAACATAGAGGTTTCGATGCACTACAGCCATCTCGTCATTATTTGCAAAGGATAAGGACTGTGCACGGTCGTGCGTAACGGCGCATGACAGACGCGCTAAAAAGAAACTATTCGTTCACGCGGTGATCTTGATATCTAAGTTAGAGAATCTCTGTGCAAAGATCTCCTTGCTAGGCACCATGTAGTCACCCTTTGTTACATGCAAATGTAAAAAGGAACATCAGAGGACACACCGTGTATTGCACTTAATTCGTGCCTGGTCGCAAATCCGACCATGAATCGCTCGAGCCACAGAAACGTAATGTAACAGTCTGCAATCTTTACTACTGATAAATCAATCTAACTCTGACCAGTGCCTCCTGGACACGGCTGACAGGTGATGCTCCGTGTCTGACTCACGGAATGGATTGACGCAACAAAAAATACATAGGACAACCTGGGCAAAAGGGTCCCCTTCATATTGCACGAGGAAAGTACACTCTAGAAGACTACCGGTGTTCTCGATATCTATTAGCTCTGGACATTCATTAGCCTACATGATACCTTTCGAGTCAAGGCATATGTCATGTTTTACGACACAATAGTAAATAAGACGGAGTCTCTCTTGCTATCATTGTAAAAGCCATAGGCAATGACGAGCGGGTTATTCTCGTAGGTAAGTGCAAGAACCTATCAAATATAAAGATGATAAGCAGCCACGTCAATAATTTTGCTCATATACCACCTGTACACGATATAAGGTCCAACGTGGTTGTCTTGAAGGATTGCACTAATTACAACAAGTGCTTTCTACATTCAGTAGGGCGGACAACAAGTATTCGTCTCTTGTGGCTTTGGCAACCACTTCTCGAGATATCATAGAAGTACGTGTGCTACCGTGAGCTTCATCAATTATTTAGTGATGAAACAATGGAATTTACACATGCATAGGTAAACGGATTTTCAGACGGGTTGCCAACGTTCAATCCATAATCACGCCCAACATTGGTTCTGGTGTGCGCCGGGTCGTCGCCGCGCCCGTATTGTTGCACGCGGATGTTGCTTGCTAGACTCGATCAATATGAAAGCACAAGATATCCGATATCTATAAAGAATTGTTGCGCGCGGGTATGGCTCGCTATACCCGATCATGATAAAGCACAAGAGATCTAACATATGTGAAGAGAAGCTGTTCTTTACCATAAACGAACTATGAAAACCACCATCCAAGAGCTTATTCGTCTCTATGAGCTGTCCAGATGTAACTATACTCACATCTTTACGATAGAGCATCTTGTGGATGTTTGCTGTGGCGGGGTATCCGTGCAACTTCGCACGATCAATGACACACATAATGGATCCCGGTGCTACGTGCATGACTGTGTCCAAATCTTACTACAGAAGATTCACCTTGACTGACTTTCTGTGTGTCATACAACCCGAGTCTTTCCATTGCGGCACAGCAACTTATCTCATGATCGCTAATGACATGTCTTCGTTCAGCACATACCACTGCCATCCACTTGATGAGATCCTCTTATTCTGAGACGTGCGTGTGGATCGAGCGAACTCGGCTGATTCGTACAACGCAGTACAACATGGCTCATCCAAGCGAAGACCATACGGTGATCTCCACATTCAGCATCGACCACGTTGCAGGCTCAGCCGTGTAAGCGCCTGTGCTGATCACGTGTCATACAGCACAATATGATGGTGCGAAAAAGACCGCTACGGTTCTGCCCCTTTTTGACAGCAATCATTGCTTCCACGGGAAAGATGAATCTCCGACAAGAAGGTATACCTCTGCACCTCCAACATAAACCACTGCCGTGAGTTCGGCTCACCGTTGCGCTATCCGCAGCCGCTGAGAGGTACTCTGCAGAGCCAAGATCCGACACACTGAATGGCCTTGAGATGTGAAGCAATGCGTATTGCGATAGAGCCCCACAGTGCCCAATCACCCAAAGCATCCGCGAAAGTTTGTATAATCAGTGGTCATCAGACTCAACAATGGGCATGCATCTTCATGATTTACTACTACCAAACAATGAGCATGCCGCACTTTCTGGGACACAATCGTGTCAAGTTGACACCATATCTTTCACTCGAATCTAGCACGATCGAGTCGTCCTCAGGCTCCTTTTCCTTAGCTTTCCATGACCCGTTACGATTGTATACAATGTCATCAATGCATTTCGGGGCAGGATGTCGTAATTCTTGTCAGGAAAATTTGATCCTAGCATCACGTGATCTTGGGAGGCTCTGATGAGCGGTACCAGACAAATTGTTGCACGTTTTACAGTCTGCTATAGCACAAGTCGACAATTTTGTTGACTCTTTGATAGTTATTTACACTACGACATCAGACGTATTGCCGTCAACTTGAGATGCAAATAGCAGGGACTGAGCTTAGAGAAAAGAAGACCCGATAGATACATTGGCGATGCATAATTTTCCACTCCTTCGCCGATCGCCCAAATTTGAGTGTCATCCCTACTGTCTCGAACTTGATGTTGATTTGTCGAAGTCTCTGGATCGTACCTCATGTGAGATATACATCCGCAGACTGCGTGATGGGACAATCACAGAGCGTAAGCACAATGCTCGAAAGCTTTGTACCCCGTGGTCATGAAGGGGTTGCATTTTAGCAGTTGCTTGTATGTAATCGATATGCATCGCTCTTTCTCCGAGTAGGAGGAGTCTATATGCCCTGTAATTTTCCACGGGTGTGGTTCCGTTGCATGATAGAAACTTAGAAGGCGTGAAGTGTCTTCGATCGTTAGCTCCTGTTTTTCTACAGACATTCTTGATCAAGCGATTCCGATGAGATGAGGAGGTGTACATACGCGACGATACGCGAGATTTCTGATGACGAAAGTGACTTGTGCTCAGATGTTGACGAAGTCGTCGCATTTGGTTGAGTGCAGGTCACCTCGCATCAATCGGTTGCGTGGAGTCAAGTTGTCGGAGTTACCAGAGCGTGTCGATGATACGACGTACCCTTTTCTTGTACATTGCTATCTTCTCTCTGATGATATCGTCTGTTTCATTTCTCTTGAATCTCGCTACACGGAACATTTCGCTGAGATTTTCACGAGTAAGACCAATGCTCATGATCGGCATCTCCGTTTGCCACCAGCATCTCTGACCATCTCTGGTTGAATAATGGCCAGTGGCAAACTATGCTGCAAACTTTGGTGATAGTTCCTGTACCAACGGCTTCGCGATCATGATCTACTACTTTTTCAGGTGCCGCAAACAGCAAAGTTGATGACTGTTGGACCTGTATATACGCTCCCCACTCTTCGTCTTTATGTAGAGTTTAGTTACCCAGTGCGATCGCTTGAACATGAGTTGCGTGCGTCGGCTTTTTTTGCTCCCATGTATGTGCGGATGGGTCACTGCGACTTCATTCAGTTACAGGCCGTACTTAGATTAGGCGTCACTTCCCGTCACTTGGACAAGCGATGGCATTAATCGACTAGTCAACTGACGCGTCACTTGGCATTTCTCGGTCTGTTATCCACATTTCAATGTCTACTCGTGAATAGAATCGGACGAGATGCAACTGACGAGACACCATGCTCGAAGAGGGGTAAGACGTCACGACTGATGATATAATGGGAACGTAGACACAGCTCGCACTTCAGGCGCATGGAGGTAAAACGCTTCGACGGCTGACATGAAGAACTCGAGCGATCCGAAAGCATATGAGCCGTAGATACTGAGTTTTGCACCTTGCGAGTCAATACGCTTATCAGAGTCGCGAACGCCGACGTAAAGACCATCTCATCGACTGCAATGCTTGTCGCTTCGATGGCGTTGTCGGGTAAAGCTGTACCATATTCCGGAGTCATTGTTGACCCCCTCTGTACTTCGAGACGGTTTGCAGCATGTAGAAGCTTCGATCGACGTGGATGTGTCAGCCGGTAGCTACTTCGACCGCTGTTTGCAGACATGATAGACCAAGTGTGTACGTTGAGACCCTCTGACCGTTACCAGTCAGGTCGTTGAGCGCTTCATTTCACCACGTCAGATCTAGCTGATCCAACAACGTGGGCTTCCAAGTTGCATTGTGCGCGAGTGACTGAGTGACAGTCGCACTGTGTATGCTCCGTGAACAGCCACTCCATTCCTCTTCCCTCCACTTGTCTATCGTCGCTTCATTGGTAGTACAGTATCATGGAAACCACTCAAATCACTCAGGATCGCAGCCCGTTCGCGGTCCATCCGTCCAAACGTCCACACGTCCACACGTCAGCCAGCCCCTCTTTCGACACGTCAATAATTCTACGACAATCTCTTCGGTGCCACACCACACCACGCCACACCACATCCCCTCAACTTCCAGCCCTCCTCTCGTCCCCATTCATGTCCAGAGCCCTCTGGCGCCGCAGCTTTGCCGTGTCGAGCGCCTTACGACCGCGTCACGCGCCCGTCCGCTTTGCCCGTTGTCGCCTCATGAGCTCAAGCGAACGCCTCAACGCCGATGCAGCTGCCGACGCCAGTGCACCTCAAGCGCCCCCCAACGAGACGATCTTCGACCGGATCATCCGGCGGGAGGTGCCCGCCCGCATCGCGTACGAAGACGACCAGTGCCTGGCGTTCCACGACGCGCACCCGCAGGCGCCAGTGCACGTTCTGATCATTCCCAAGACCCGCGACGGCCTCACGCAACTCGCGCGAGCTGAAGAGCGCCACGAAGCGCTGCTCGGGCATCTGCTGTACGCCGCGAAGCTCGTCGCCCAGCAACAGCACTTGGACAAGGGCTTTCGCATTGTCCTTAACGACGGCGTCGACGGCTGCCAGTCGGTCTATCATCTGCACTTGCACCTTCTCGGGGGACGGACACTGGGCTGGCCGCCTGGATAGACGGTAGTCCGATTGGGACTCGATGGACGACGACGGTCGGGTTGACGGTCAGGTTGACGGTCAGCTACGAGAGGTTAGAGCTGAGCTCGTGTCCGAGTGGCATTATGGTGAGGGAGGCGTGCGTTTGCATGCAGTCAAAAGTGCACCAACAGGTTTCTGGTGTCCGAAGACGTGTCGGCCAACAAGTGTGGGGTCACCTCATCGTCTCTCTCTCTCTTAGCTGCTCTGTCGATGTTTCGTCTTTGTGTATGTGTGCGCATGAACGTGTGACGATACCCTTCAGGTGGCAGATCAGTCGACCGACGAAGATGACGACTGCTATCCCCTCCCGCTGCACTCGTTGTGGAACTGGGCGAGGAACGTCTCCATGAAAGCGTGGCGTTCAGCCGCCAGTCGCCTTCCTGCGTCCGTCTTCATCAGACTGCGCAGCTTGAGCAGTTTCTGCGTAGAGAACCCCATCAACAACCATTACCACCGCTACGCTCTCCCTCTTGACCAGCACGTCTGTCTGTCTGCCGTACCTCGTAGAAATGGTTGATCGTGGTGTTCGCACGGGTCGGGTCCATGTACTGCTCCTTCGTCATGCTCGTCGTGGGAAGGACATCCGCATCGTAGAGCGGTCGTCGCTTGGAGCCCCCGTACGTGAAACAGCGCGCGATTCCAATAGCTCCGATCGCATCCTGCACACGACCTGACGTCAGCACTCCTTCGTCTCTCTCTCTCTCTCTCACTTGGTCCTGCACTCTATCACGCGAGACACGTGCGAAAGCCAACAACAACAACAACAGCAGCAGCGTACCAGTCGATCAGCGTCCTGGACGCAGCCATACTCAATCGAGTACGGGTGCTACGGACGTGACCCGCTGCCATGTGAGTCCCTTTCTGAGCACGAGCTACAGCAGGACGCGACACCACACACACGCACACGTACCTGTCGGTTGCCTGCAAGCTCTTCTTTGAACCCCATCGTGTCGATGATGGCCATCACGCGCTCAATCTTGTCACGTGGTACGTGCTCCGACTCCAGGAACGCCGCAGCTCGCGTCGTGGGCTTCTCTCGGTCGCTCTGGTACTTCCAGTCGTCCATGTCGTGCAGCAACGCAGCCAGATCGACAACCTCCAGACCCTCTTCGGACACGCACTATGGACAAGAGAGAGAAGAGGGAGATATATGTGTGTGTGCGTGTGCGTGTCGAGGGATCAGTATCAGCTAAAGCCAAGCACCAGAAAGGGTCAGAGGGAGAACGAGACGTACCTCTTCCTTTGCCAGCGATTGCGCGAGCGTCCAGACACGCTGAATGTGGCTCCAGTCGTGCGACGCGTCGTTGGACTGGAGCTGCTGCTTGACGAATGCAGCTGTGCGCTGCACGAGCAGAGGTGTCGCCATCAAGTGAGACTGTATCTTGCTTGGGACTCGAGTATCCGAGGACTAACCGCCTCGTTGGTATCAGATACCCATCCAGCAACGCGCCGAAGCTCAGCCAGTCATTTCAACGTCCCGTCAGCAGCTCCAGACGCTCGTCACTGTGTAGCTGCGCGATGTGTCCTCCTCGCAGTTGACTCGGGAGGAGATGTAGTATCGTTACTACTGCAACTGCTACCGATGCAGCTTCTGGCTGCGCGAGAATACGCGATCGAGTAGCTGCAGTCTGATAGCACTGCTGCGATGTTCGTCAGGGCCGCCACTGCAGATGTGGATCATTGCCACGTTTTTCCATGTCGGTGAGGTACTTCGGCACGGACCACTTGTTGGACCGAGTGGCACCTCCTACGTTCATTGCCCCGAGAAGACGCGACTTGAAAGCTCAGCATGCGTGAAGGCAACAAGACTGCAATCGTCAAACTTCCGTGACGAGCAAGCAGGTGCACCATGTGGACTGCGACGACGACAGCACACCTCAGACGGCACTGAAGCTGCGAGAAGCTGACGGCACTCGACTCGACTTCTCTGGTCCACCTGATCGGACCATTATAGCTGACGCCGCTCGACTCGAGACGTTTGGTGGCACCGATGGAAACGCTCTCGTGGGGCAACAACTCGTGGAGCGGCCCGAGAAAGTTGAGGGCCATCACTGGTTTCTCTGGAGCATTTCAGCACCGTTGGTCGACTCCGCTTGTGTCCCTAGCCACACAGAGACACATCCGATCGCTACACGGCCGGCAATGAATGTCCCGCAGAACATCATAGCCGAGTGGCTGGTCTTGCTAGCTGCAACCGTTCCCTCAGACCGCCGTGTCACGTGTCCAGTCGCAACTTGAGCGCGCTCGGTACACGTGTGCTGTCGTGCTACCGTTCACGAAACTTTGCCATACCCCGGACAACAACGACTTGTACTCGAGGCACAGGCGATGTAAAAGCGAAAATAATGCCTCGCGAGTGACTGTCCGCCGGAGACTGCATGAGCCACATCGGTGGTAGACCACTTGCCCTTCTCTCTTCGTATGACTCGCTCGTATCAGGCTTTCCGCAAGATAACTTGGTCCCTGCCATCCTACTTCGCCAGTGCTCGTCTTGAGCGTGTTTTGCTTCCTTTGCCAAGCAAAATGCCACGATACTGACCTCACGTCGTCAATCCGTTCACGTTCTGTGTCCTCAGAGATCGAATAAGTACCTCAACGAAGCCCACTTGCCCACCATTTGCGCTCTTGTGCCTCAGGACACTAGCAAGAAAAAAGTTGTGCAAGTCAGCCTCGTGCCTGGCCTGGTTCGTTCGTGACTCCTTACAGCAACATCAACGATGGCAGAACGACTCGCGACTCGAGGCGGCTGACTCAGCATGGACCAAAAAGACAACACAGTGAGTACCCAACAACAGTTATCCATGACGGTATGCTGATTGCAACAAACCGCAAGAACTACGCGACGCATGACGGCAGTGATGACGGACGACTGATGATGACGGAAAAAGTTGCGGCGCAATTTACTTCAACTCGCTCTTAAATATACCACCCCACGACATTGTACTCCTGAAGCCAGACTCGCACTCTCTGTTGCTCCTGCAGCGCAGCAGGACTCAGCGGATCTTCTTCTTTGTCAAAAACCCAACCACACTCTTGCGGTCGATTCCGGTCCGCGGCAGCGCCTTTTCCGGCCAGTATGAATTGTCCTCGCTGTTTATGGATGCCCCTGGCGGAATCAGATACATGTTGTATGGACACGCCGGTGAAATGGACAACGCAAGCACACGCGAATTGTGCTTCCTTTTGTCCGCATACCGGACCATTTGTCGCACGAACTTCCAGTGATCATAGGCAGACTCCAAGTAGAAGAAGGCCATCGCCGATTCGTGGAGATTGCGAATCTCAATCTCGGTTCGTCCCATCCCCACAACTCCGTCCTGCGTTGCCACGATACTGCGGCTATCTGGAAAGTCTTCGGGCGTCATGCCGTTGCGGGTGTGGCACCAAAAGGCATCCACCGGAAACTCGTGGATGCTGCACGTATCCGACGCGTCCCGGATCCGAATGAGACACGACCAGGCAACGGATTTACCGACCTTCGATACTTCATCATCGATTGCCATCGTTACATCCCCTTCGTTCATCGGCTTTGTGTCAAGCCCGCAGTCAATCAGATCAATCATGAATTGTGCAGCTCTCCATTCGGCCAAGCGACGGGCATCTGCTTCTGTTTTCCATGTTACTTGGCACAATACATACCCGTCTACACTTACGACACAGCAGACACCTGGATTTGAGTGAGGCTTACGGCCAAAAGAATCTCGCGGTCGCTCTCCCACTGTAGTTGTAATCTGACGACAAGACAAAAGAGAGACGCAAGGTTAGCAAAGGCTGATGTAGCTACTTTGTGGCACCAGAAGCGGCTACGAACATTGGCAATGCCGGACAACTTGAGGTCTCGGAATGAGTCAACAGGCGAGACGTATGACAGCGATTTCACGTCCAGAAAATGAAGAAGTTGTGCCCAAACCGATCGAATGCGGTTTAGCTTGTCCAGCATCCCATCGACAGCCGCATTGCAGGCATCAGACTTTGCCCTCCTCGACGCTTTGATGCGAATGACATCGTTGACATCGACGTTGACTTCAATTACACCATCCCGAAGGCGCTCCATTCTTATGTTTGCCGTTACATTGGGAACAACCATTTTGTGTTCGGCTCCACGATACTTGAGCGATGCTCGGAGTCTGTTAATAGCGGTACATAATTCGTCTGCCGGGGTAAATAGACTTCGGATCGTGGCACGGAATTTCGCGTCACAGGTTTGATCGCACTCGGACTGCTCAGCGTACTCCTTTTTTAGCTCATTTTCAAACGCTGCAGACTCTGATACAACATTCGAATCTGATGCAGCCTTTATAGCTGACGGATCCCAATCATCGTCGCCATACCCTCCACCGTCGGAGCCACTATCGTAATCATCGCCATCGTTATCCATCTCATCGTCGCTGCACAAGATGAGGTTGGCCGTTTTCACTGAAGGGGTTATCAATGGACGTGATTGAACAGCCGCTACACTTGGAGGCCTCGTGGTAGTATGTGCCATATTCGTGCTTCCTTTCGAGTGTTTCGATGAATCAGCAAGTTTCATCTTCGCGAGCGATTCCAAGATATCGCGCCACCTTTCATTAGCAGAGCGTTTTGCATCTTTTGCGGTCAGGCACGCCGTTGAGATTGCTAGCGTATCGCGTACTTTAATAAAATACATAAACATGGGCGGGACGAGCTTCTCCGACGTTGACACCTGGTCGTACATACATAAGCAAGCACGACAAAAGATGTGAGCTGGCCGATAGACAATCTGTCGAGGCAGCAAACACCTAAGTTGGCGCTTACCTTGTCGCGACTTTTGGCTTGCGTCTCATTTCCGGCCATCAGAGTTGTTGGAGTCTTCGCCAGTCGTTGGTTGTACGTGAAAAGCAACGCCTTCCACGTCTGGATCATCCCATCCAGCGTCTTGACCAAAGTCGAAGCTGCCTTGTTCTTCGCGCGTTCAATAGACGGTCCTTCCCCACAGGCCTCAACTACGCTCTCTGACGCAGTGAGCACACAACGCACCAGCCCGTTTTCCAGCTTTGACGTAGTCCAAACGATCTGTTACGTTCACACGTAGCAGTAAGAAAGTAAGGTCGGATCTCACGCAAGTGCCGTAAGCATGAAAGCGTACCGTAAGATTAGGCGTAAATTTGATTGTGTCGCACCTCGCACTTAGATCCCATTCAATCGCCTCGACAGCTTCTACTACCTTGCCCCGATGTCGAAAAAGAAGCATGAGCAACTCCTGGTACGCACCGGACTTTGCCTTGGCAACTTCGTCTTCAGGACGAGACTTCTGTGTGTTGTGATTGCGACCTAATCCACTTCGGTCCTCAACAAACAAGCTCGTTCCGTTTGCAGAAGACGCGCTGCCCTCTTTTTGCGGAGCAGCTCGCATTTCAGGCCCTTTCGGCTCTGGGGTCGAATTCGACAAACGAGGACGAGGAGCCCCACGCTCGTTCTCAGAGGCTTTTGCATCTAGCGCATAGCGTCGCTTTCGTAAAATTCCTCGCGACCTTAGCTCCGCCTCTCTCTCGTCGCGGGCAGTAGTACCTTCAGTGTCCTCCGACACATCTTCCATCTTGACATCGTTTGTGCTTTCAATGTCGGCCTCGGCATCTATCTCTTCAGTCGTGCCCGGCGTAGTCTCACTCTTGATTTGTACAATACGGTCGCGTTCTAAACTTTCGTCATGCTGGTCCACCAGTTCCATCAGAAACGTCATGAGTGCATCAACTACTTCGCCTTTTATACTGGGAAGAGATGCACCACGTCTACATATGAGCGGGCAGTCTTGGATATACGCCACAACATCATAAGTGAGCACGTGGTTAACGTTCTTACTAGGTCTCTCACGAAGCTGCACACACACCAACTGCACGTTAGTATCATGAAACCACTGACCAGTGCATGTGTGCAAAGTACACGTACCCGCACAATCCTCTTCTTTATCAGATAGTTAAAAGCCGCGTCCTTTACTTTTCGGGTATCGTTCGCTGTACAGAGGCCAAATTGCGACTTCAAGTACAAAAGCATGTCACCGTACAGTCTTTGGTGTTCGCTAATCGCGCTCGTGAGCCGCGACAGTGCACCAATGGTGGCATCTTGATCACTGGCAGCAGTACAGTCGAAGGACAAATGCCCCAACCGGACACGAACGGTGCACTGATTCGGCTCATTTACCTGCACTTTGCACTGAAGCTGAGCAGCAGAAAAAGACGGTGAGCTACCATTGCGTCTCTCGACACACAATCAATAAGTTACCTTAAGGCCTGGCGCCAGTATCAGTTCCTTGTTTATTGCCAGTGAGGACACCGTTCGAACAGCAGCTGTCAGTTCTTCAAGTGATGATACGAGGTCGGCGTTAGGACCTGTAAGAGCCAAAAGGTATGATTGGCCTTCGTCTGCACGGGAGCTAATCGTCTTGGAAATGCTGCTTTCGTCACGCAATAGCTCCTGGTCGGTCAAAGGAACCGTGACTGAGACTGAAGCGCGCTCAGACTTAACGGATCGCCAGGTAACGCCAGTCGGTCCCAGCGTTAGATTCGTAGAAAAGGTGACTCGTTTTTTCGGTGCACCAACTACCGCTGAACTTGGCCACGACGCCGGCGAGTTTTTCTGACGCAGTATCGACCTGACGACCGAGTCGCTGTTGTCGCGTCCACTTCGGTCTACCTGATCTGGACCTGCTTCAATCGCCATGTCTTCCACTGGCTGCTCCCCCATAGTCCCATCGCAACTTTTCCTACCCGTTTCGTCTTGCTCTTTCGTCATGTCAGCATACCACATGCGGAACCTGTCTGCAAACTGGAACGCCCGCTCCTTCATTACCGTGTTGCGCATGTCGCCCGTCATCACTTTCACGTACATGAGCAACTTCTTGGCCGCATGCAGTCGCTGCACTGCGCGTCGGTCTTGCTTGATCAGCTCGTCGTAGCGCGCTGCCAGCTGCCGATGGTGAGTAGCCATGTCGTCCAGCACACGCACGAGGCGTCCTGGCGTGCGTGCTCGGTGGAGGTACTCCCGTTGCGAGGCCCCCAAGCGGACGAACCGCAGCACGAGCGTCCGCGAGCCCGACTTGTCGCCCTCCGTCTTCACTGTGGCTTGCGCTCCGATTGCAGCCACGTCCTTGTGAAGCTGCTTGAGGCTCCGCGGGCACACGAGGAGGTCTTCGGCCGCGAGGCCCACCAGATAGTCGTCCGGCGCTACTGCAGTCGTCCCGTGTCGCATAGTGCCGGCGGCCCTTGCGCCTGTGTGTGGCTCGACAACGTCCATCGCGTACTGCGGAGCGCTCACCTGATGCACTTGGAACACGTGCGAGTTCATCGTCGCCGTCACAGAGAGCCCCAAGTCCGTCTTCAAGTGCAACTGCGGGACGGGGCCACGCGGCAGCGAGTAGCGCACTTCGTACGCGCGTCCGAGCGCCAGCAGCTGCTTGACGGCCAGTGCCACTTCCACGCGCCAGAGGCGGACGCCCATGTCGAGCGCCAGCGCCTCGTAGCGGCCTCCAGACGCGACCGGGCGGTCCACGTCGTCCATCAAAGAAAGCGCGCGGGTTGTGCTGCCGGTGTGCGGCTTTTTTTATTTGTGGCAGTAGTGTTGTGGGAGTGGCAAAACCTGTCGCAACTGATAAACTCGTGGAACCAACGACGAAATGGAAACAACGCGAGTCGAGCGGGTCGCTCGATATCGTGCCAACATATTGCAATGTCGCGCTCGGCGACCGTCAGTTAGTTGTCGCGCGATAAGTTCGCTCTGTTGCGTTCGGTCGACTGACTGACTGACTGACTGACTGCTCACTCCATGAGAAAGATGCGACTAGCGACGTCCGCCACGAGCCAATCGATGCCGTCAATGAGTCCTGCGCCAGTGACGGCGCTGCAGGAAACGATTCGCCAGTGCCGAGTGGAAAATTGCGCCGACCGCAGCCCCAGTGCATCGACAATCTCGGCAGAAGACAGGGCGCCGGGCAGGTCTTGCTTGTTGGCGAAGATCAGCAGCGTCGCACCGGCGAGTTTCTACCCGAGCACACGACACAACAGATGGACAGCAAAAACATGTACACATGTGAGCGTCATGCTGGACACCGACGCGGGACAGAGGAGCAATCGTGTATACACACACGCACACACCTCTTGAGTCAGCAACTGGCCAAGCTCGCGCTTGCAGTCGTCCAGTCGTCGTCGGTCGGCGCTATCGACGACCCACACGAGGCCATCAGTCTGCTCGTCCACCACATCACACACATCATGAGACCTCCTGCCGTTGCCGTCCATCCGACAATGCCAACTGAGCTGGCCAACAACACTTACCTGCTCAAAGTAGTTTCTCCAGTACGACCTGATTGTCTGCTGACCTCCGACGTCCCATACGTTCAACTTGAAGCTACACAGGACAGCAACGTACACACACACACACACGAGCTATTGCTTCAGTCTCGTCGTCGTCATCACCTGAGCGTGCAGTCCCTCTTGGCCCTCGTTTGCTCACCTTTTGTACTCGAGCGTCTGAATGTCGAACCCCAAAGTAGGAGAGATCTCAGTGATGTCCTGGCCCATGAACTGCTTTAGTATCGTCGTCTTGCCAGCGTTGTCGAGGCCGCTGTCAGAGCGAGTAGCACCAGCGGAAAGCACACGTGATGTCAGCCTCAATCGATATCGCGATATACATAGTGTCAATGGTCGAGTAGTGATTGCACGACTGCAGCGTACAGCATGAGGACGCGGATCTCCTTTTCCTTCTCCTTGACCTTCTTGAGGATACTTAGCAGCCCCATTGCCGTCTGCCGTGCGCCGTTGTGCAACAATATCACAGTGTGCTGACGCAGACAAAAACACGTATTGAAATATTACGCTCAGCACCAGACAATTATTGCACCCTCCAGTCGCTGGACGGGGAAGTACCACTAATGGGCGTACGGTCGCAATGAAGACATTTTACGTGTGGATGCACTCAGCACTACAAACTGTACAAAGTCCAGCAGACACGCGAGTCAGTGTCACCTGCGCTTTACTGCCAGTGTCAATGCGTATTTGGTCGATCGACAGGTGCAGCAAAGACGAAGGAGGGCCGAGTCAACTCGCAACTCCCACACAGGAGCCAGAAGATAAACGAACTCCAAGTCGTCGTGGATATGCTGTGTACATTCGGAGCTTGACGTGAAGCCACATTCTCGTCCACGACCTTCTCCGCACTTCTTGTCGTGGCCATCATCAAGTTTGCAAGCTGACTGTGCAAGACGGAAGTGGGTCAATGATGCACTAAAGAAAAGGACGCTGCACTTTTGCATTCAATTGCAGGGACGGCAAACCTGGTACACACACTATCGTGGCGCTTTCCTGGAAGTTCGAGCTGTTGCAGGTGCAACGATAGCGACTTGGCGCTATGTACGTCCGAGTACGGGAACTTTGCATCTTCATCGAACGTGTACGCAGCGATGCAGCTGACGAGTCCCATCGCTTGTGTACAACCGATCCGAGAAGTGCCTTTTGTATACAGTTGTGCGTCGTACGTGCGCACCTCTGGCTCAGCTCATACCCGAGGCGACCGACCACTTTGATTTTCAAGGTAGTTGTTTTGTGTAAATAACCGCATGCTTGGATTCCTCCTACAAAAGTGAACCTGCCTACACCTGTAGGTCCGCTCCTCAAAAGTAACAGCAAGACATGCACTCTCCTCCTCAAAGTCCGCGCACAAAAGCTCGAGCTGTAGCACGTATGTGTGTCTGTGACCCACGCAAACGACCTACAAAACGCACGCGCTTGTCCGCAACTCGGCGCTTCGGATTGGCTAATATCGTCCACGCGAACGCTCCCACCCGTACGCATATGATTGCGCCCTCCGCGGCCCCTCCGCCCACCAGACCATGCACCGCCTATTCGGCAAGAAGAAGCTCGAGGCGCCGCCTGTCAACGTCTCTGATGTCGGGAGCAACGTGGACGCCCGCGTCGCTGATCTGGACGTCAAGGTGCGCCTCTCTTTCTCTGTGTCTGTCTGTCTGTCGCCTCTGTAGACGCTCACTCGATGGCTGTTGCAGCTTGAGGCACTGGACCAGGAGCTCCGCAAGTACCGCGAGCAGCTGAAAAAGACACGCGGACCCGCCGGGAACGCCGTCAAACAGCGGGCGATCCAAACGCTCAAACGCAAGAAAATGATTGAAGCGCAGCGCGAGAAGCTCCAGGCGCAGTCGTTTACGATGGAGCAGGTGCGGTGTAGAGGGCACAACGGCTCGAGGAGTGCAGTGCACTTCACAGGATCTGGTGATGATACGGATGCTGCTGCCGTGTCTCGTTATACAATCTGCAGGCCGTGTTCGCCATTGACTCGTCGCGCGGCGCGGTCTCGACTGTAGCTGCTTTGAAGAGCGCCGCGGTGCAGCTGAAGGCAGAGACCCAGCAAATTGACATCTCCGAGCTGGAAGTGAGCTACTGGGGCTGGCGTTGGTGATGGAGGATGTCTGGTTGGTCTCAGGGTACGCTGTTTTTCCGTGTGGCGTGTCGCAGGACGTGCAAGACGACATGGCCGAGCTGATGGCGGAGGTGGACGAGATTCAGGAGATCATGGGGCGCTCGTATGGGTACGCGATCGAAGTGGCGCGCGACGACACGTCTGCAACTAAGTGTCGGGTACGGCTTTGTTGTCTGCGCTTGTTTTTCTTTCCTCTGCGTTCTTAGCATCGGCGATGACATTGACGAAGACGAATTGGAAGCGGAGCTGGAAGGTCTGGAGGAAGACTGGGTCGAGGAAGCAGCTCGCAGTGAAGAAGCGGAGCAGAGACCGTCGTATTTGGCACCAGCACAGAACCACGAGCTTCCTGCTGTGCCGTCTGGAAAGTTGGGCTCGTCGTCTGAGCGCGTTACGGACGAGTTTGGACTGCCCGTGGCATCGTTCTCGACATAGTGCACCACTCTCTCGCTGTATGCTGGAGGCGACGCGAGCCATGTATGATACAAACACACAGCAGGCCATGCGATGACCTGAGTGCCAGCGTCCACATGCTGCACGAGAAAGTAACGTGAAAAGTCCAGCAGGTACACCTGTTGTCCGTGAGCTCGTTGCATCCCGTCTCATCCTCTCTCGATGTTCCAGCTCCCACATTCCGAGGCGCATACGACACACTCTCTCTCCTGTTGTTCAGTTTAGTTGGACAATCCTATCGGCATGGCTCGCAGTTGTATACTCGGCTTCCAAGCACCCAACAGGGTCGAAGATGTGCAGGGCATTCCTGCGGGTAGACCCTCACACCTTCACTCGGCTTCGCTGCACTGAGACCGGTACAAGGACAATCGATACCCGTCAATTTGAGACGGCCAAAGCTGCTGCTGCTGCTGCTGTTTCCTCAACGAGGTCCTGCCATGAGGCGTATGTCTGTCCGGACAATGAAGAAGAGCATAAACGGTGTAACTCGCACTGTTTGGCTCACTTGCGCATCTGCGTCAAGTCCACAATTGTGTTGTAGCCGTAGCCGTTTGTCCACAACCCGAACGAGTTATATACCCAAACAACGTCCGACTGGAGGAGGCGTACGCCACCGTTTGTATCGAGACAACAAAGTCCGCAGGTCAGCAACGGGAACGCTGAACCCATCCACCGACTCACGGGAAGTGAAGCTTAACAGAACACCCTCGCTCGAGTTAAGCTGCTTGTGATGGATAGGGTAGTCAGGCGTCTTAAGCTGTCACGGAATGCATCCGATCGCATAAACGATAATCGATGCATTGGAAGGAGCGGTAAGCCGTATGATGCGGTGCTTATGAAGTAGAGGCATGGGGTGGATGAGGGTTTGCAAAGTATACACAGGAGATACCTATACACAGGAGATAGCTGGCCGAGGGGAAGCTGAGCGAGGAGAACGGCTACGTACTTGAGACAGCTACCTACCTGAAAGTGTCTGCAATCAAGCACGGCGCGTCATCGATCCGCACGCGGATGCGCTCAGACAGCCAATCAGCGGTGGCGCTGCGCCACGACATTGGCATTATGCAACCGATTCCAAGAGGTTATGCAGTTCAAGAGCACCCGCGCCCTCTATCGTCGAGTGCCCCGAGCGATCCCGTGTCGCAGCCAGATGAGGTTTTATCCCACACCCATCGTCTCCCACACTGAGGTTTTATCCCATCAAGCGTTTCGCCGCTTGGTTGGCTGTGCGGCCCGTCCGGCAGATGCCAAAAGATCGACTCGCCCACAGTCGCAGTCACAGGTGCGCTCTCCGTAGCAGGTGCGCTCTCCATAGCCGATAGCCGATAGCCAATAGCCCATCGCCAACAGCCGATAGCCGATAGCTGTCGACATGGCCCGCGAGAAGAAGGAGCCGCGCGTCAAGAAGGAGCGACAGGGCAAGAAAGAGACGCGCAAGAAGGCCGCCGAGGAGAAGAAAATGGCCGACAAGGCCGAAGCGCTGGGCAACATGTCGCACGCTGACCGGCTCGCCGAAGAGGGAATCATTGCCACGTGCTCGCACAACGTGCGCTCCGTGCACAAGAACTTTAAGGACATTAACGTGCTGAACTTTAGCATCACGTACTTTGGCAAAGTGCTGATGGAGGAGTGCGACATTTCGCTCAACTACGGCCGTCGCTACGGCCTCATTGGGCGCAACGGGTCGGGCAAGTCCACGTTCATGAACGTCTTGGGGGCCCGCGGCATTCCCATCCCCGAGAGCATTGACATTTACCACCTCAAGCACGAGATCGAGGCCAGCGACATGACGGCCCTCGAAGCTGTGCTGTCCGTGGACGAAGAGCGCAGTAAGCTGCAGGCCGAAGCTGACGCGCTCTCGGAGCAAATGACCGACGAGTCGATTGCCGAAGAAGACAGTGAAGCCATCTCGGACCGGCTCACGGACTTGTACGAGCGGCTGGACGACATGGACGCGGCGACAGCTGAAGTCCGCGCTCGTCAGATCCTGTCGGGTCTGACGTTCTCGGACGCCATGATGGACAAAAAGACGCGCGAGTTTTCGGGGGGATGGCGGATGCGCATTGCGCTGGCCCGTGCTCTGTTTATCCAGCCGACGCTCCTGCTACTGGATGAACCGACGAACCACTTGGACATGGAAGCCGTTGTGTGGCTGGAAGACTACCTGTCCAAGTGGAAGAAGATCCTGCTGATGATTTCGCACTCGCAGGAGTTTATGAACGAGGTGTGCACGAACATTATCGACCTCACGAACAAGAAACTCGAGTACTATGCTGGCAACTACGACACGTACATCCGAACGAAGGCCGAAAAGGAGGAGAACCAGATGAAGCGCTACAACTGGGAGCAGGACCAGATCAAGCACATGAAGGAGTACATTGCCAAGTTCGGCCACGGGTCTGCGAAACTCGCTCGTCAAGCTCAGAGTAAAGAGAAGACGCTTGCCAAGATGGTGCGCGATGGTCTGACAGAAAAGGTCGATCACGAGTCCATTGGTGACTTCAAGTTTCCAAACCCAGAGCCGTTGCCGCCGCCAGTGCTCATGTTCCAGAACGTGTCGTTCGGGTACCCGAACACACCGCTGCTGTACTCTGGCGTCGAGATGGGACTGGATCTGGACTCGCGCGTCGCCCTTGTCGGTGCGAACGGTACGGGCAAGACCACGTTGCTGAAGCTGATTACGGGCGACCTGGTCCCTGTTGCAGGTAATGTTCGGCCACACAGCAAGTTGCGTATCGCGCGCTTCAGTCAGCACTTTGTCGACGTGCTCGACCTGACCCAGTCACCGCTCGAGTACTTCCGCTCACTTTTCCAGACCAAGTCGATCGAAGAGGTGCGGAGCTACCTGGGCCGCTACGGCATCACTGGTGATGTGCAGACGCAGATCATGGGCCAGCTGTCTGATGGCCAGAAGAGTCGCGTTGTGTTTGCGTACATGGCCCAGCAGAATGCCCACATGTTGCTGCTCGATGAGCCCACGAACCACTTGGACATGGAGTCCATTGACGCGTTGGCCCGTGCGATCAACAACTTTGGCGGTGGCATGCTGCTCGTGAGTCACGACATGCGTTTGATTTCGCAGGTCGCCAAGGAGATTTGGCTCGTGGAAAACCAGTCCATCAAGGTGTACCAGGGCGAGATTTCGGACTTCAAGATGCGCGTGCGCAAGCAGCTCAAGCTGGCCGACAAGCCCGTGACACCTGCTGAAGACTAAGTCCGTTGACAGCCTGATTGTCATAGATGCTTGCTGTACGTGGTAGAACTGCTGTGGCGAACGTCGATCCCAGTGCGCTGCTTGCGTGTTCGTATTTGCTCACCTCGCCGATGGATTGATAAGACATAATTGGAAATCTCCCGTTGATGAACTCTTTTGCCCGGCACGGCATCGGTCGATCTCTTTCGGGTGCTGTGTCCTCATGCTCGAGTGTGCATCTCTCTGACAGACCCGGACCGGTCCTCATGAGGTTACCACCGCTCTTGTGTTGAGGTATGCCTCGCCACGCACATGACGCTCGTATGTTTGGCAGACTCAATCGACAGACTCCGCAATCACACCATACTTGTGTACCGCTTTCGTGCGGCGCTGTTGACTCCTGCTTGTGCTTCGCGCTCGACTGAAAAGGCGTGAGAGCTGCTCACCTCCAGAGATGCAGCCGCAATTGAGCACCTTCACGTTGAAGGAACGCCATTGTCCATGATGTATCAATGTCGACAACCTGGTGATCCGCTCCTGTCATGTCAAACGATACGATTCATCTACGTGAGTTGCGCTTTGTACTAGATAGCATACTCATTGCGACATTACGTGCGAAAAGACAACCAATCTGAGAGACTGCCCTCATAGCGATGGAGGACACAGGTGCTGTGGGGTCGAAGCCATCGCATGCCTACGTAGCACTCGTCGAGACGCGTCCACAAACTGGACTGGCACGGCCAGCTCTCGAACAATAGGAAAGTGAAAGTGGAGCGTAAAGTACACAACAGCCACGAGTGAATGCCATGAATTGACATCTTAATCTGAACATCTCACAAGCGTCCATCTTCCATCTCACCACTACTCAAATTGACATTCTCCGACCCTTTCCATCGTAGTCAAAGAGCTTAGTTATTCGTGCGCTCATTGCGGATGGTCTCCAACAAGACGCCGAGCATCTTGTTCTTTTTCGCATTGTCCATCACGGCGTTTAGTCTTGGATGGGCGTCAGCGTCAAGAACAGCGCTGATTGTGTCGAGCGCACGCAGCGCACTGCGTATGAGGTCTTTCACACGCTCGACCTCGGGACCAACCTGGTCTTCCTTCACCTTCTTGTTGATCGTCTTCTCCAGCAGTTCCAGTAACGAATCCAGTGCGCCCACAATACTACCAGGCTGAACATAGCAGATCTTGATCAAGATCTGGTGACTGAGCATCTGGATATCGTCCTGGTCTCCAAGACCTCGCTTCAGTTGGTCGAGAAACAGATTGATGTCGATTTCCTGCGGCAGCACCTGGATCAAAGTGTCGACAAACGAATATGCAGCTTTACGAAGAGGGAGACCGTCATCCACTTTGTGCTTGAACGGACCAAGATCGACCACTCGCTCGAGCTTGATTTCAGTCGTTTTCAAGAGCACAGGAAATATCCTGTCGCGAACGTAAGGCACCAGGTGGTGAGCATGGTGGTGAGCCGCAGTGTTGAATACTAGCAGTGCAGCACGGCGTACGTGCAAGTCTTCATCTTCAAGCGCAGCCAGAAAAGGGTCAATGTGAGCAAAGATCGCATCAATTGACGTTTCCTCGACCGTTGTTGTCATCGCATACTTGAGACTTGTTGCAGCGGTCCAGCGTGACCATACGTCTGACGACCCGCAGAGTTCGGTCACAACCGGCATCAGATTGGCACTGTTCGTTGCAGCAAGCTTTCCCATACACTCGCCAACCATGTTTCGCACCCCCTCCTCCTGACGAGCACTCATTTTCCGAAGAACCAGAAGTACACGATCCACGTACGTTGCAAAACCATGGTGCGGCTTTGCTGCATGATCTGAAATGACTTCGCGCAATGACGTCAGCAGCAAGTAAGAGTTGTCCCCATGCTCCAACTTCTCCATGACAATGTCGAGGTACTCTTCCATATTGCCAACGCAAATGCTGCCAAGTGAGTACGCAGCTGCAGCCTTCACTTCTTCACCTGCATCGTTGAAGGACTCTAGAATGATCTCTTTGACGTCCGTGTAGCCAGCGAGTGTGATATTCCGGCCAAACTCTCCCAAGCAGTAGAGCGCCAAAACTTTTCTTTTCTCGGACCCCTTTTGTGTAATGTCGCCAACAAACTTTGCAAAAGCCAGCTTGCGGTTTTCTTCCGTTGTAGCCACACACGAGCAAGCAACACACTTCGCGATGTTCAGCACCGAGTGCTTCGACTCTTCAGGAGAAACAGCCACGAGTGCCTTGAACAGCTCGGTGAAACTGCTACCTGGCAAGTCCAGTTGTGTCAGTTGCGCAAAAAAAGACTCCAGAGCTTCTAAAGTGGGACCTTGAAGCATAGCACTGTGGCATAGCTCCAGAGCTTTCACTTGGGCGTTGTGCAACAAAGCTTCTGTCGACGCAACGCGGGGGCATACGCGCAGAGAGTTTGATATCAACGTGATGCTCATGCGGCACAGCTGGAGATCCACATCAACGAGAAGGAGCGAGGCTTCGAGCACCACTTCATAGTGAAGTGCATCAGACATTTGCGCACCCTTGTAAACGACCAGATCGTTGAGGGCGGCTAACGTTGCTTGTTTCAGCGTGCGGGACTGCTGACGAAGCAGCTGAGCCAGGGTATGCGTGCACTCTTCAAGAATTGGAGACATGTCCAAGTCGAGCTTCGAGCGAGCAATGGTTCCGATTGCCTTGATGCTATGGACGCGCGTTATTTCGTTGTTCAAACGCTCCATTAGCAGAGGGAAAACTTTTCCCACTCGCTCACCAAGCTCGTCGCCTACAATCACAACATTCGTTAATTCACCATATCAACAGCACTGCCATATCGATTGACGTATTACACGCACCCAAAATAGCAACGATTTCTCCAACACTGCTGATTGCGGCCTCCTTGATTTCTTGGTCAATATCATGAACCTTCAAATGAAGCAATACCGCGTCATAGAACGGCACGGCATACGGTTTGTACATCGAGTCTTCGCTGTCCGAGCGGATGATGTGAACGAGGGATTCGATCAATCCAAGCGCTTTCGCCACTGTTTTGTACCAATCTCCCTTGGCACACTGCACTGCAACTTCGGCGACCGAATCAATGTGTAGTCGGAATGGCTCCATAGTGTGTGTGTCCACGAGCAGGCGAAGAAACGTCAGAGCGTCCAGCTTCAAGTCTGAGTGTTTGTCCTCCACTGCACTGAGGGTGTTCGGCATCAGAAGACCGATGTAGTCGCCCAATTTCCCGTACTCTAGCATCGCAAGCTCGCTCAATAGCGCAAGTACTGCACAGCGTGACAGAACTGAAGCTTTGGGTCCGAATTGCTTGTTTGCACCAACAACGACCGCATTCAGGCACTGTTTCAACTGGTTAATGCACGCATTTGACGTAGATGAGTAGTGAGGAGATCCCGCCCCACTCGAGCTCGGAAGGGTCTTCCGAGTAGCGCGCAGAAGGTCCGCAAACACTGCAAAAACGTCAATCCGGACGTTCTCTTCTCGCTCTTTGAAGCGCGAGATCAAAGGCTGAGCACACCGAATGTACAGGTGCTCCAGGAGTTCTGGTCGCGTCGTAATGATTGCAGTCAGCACGCGAAGACTGGCCCGACGGACCTTCCAACTCGTGTCGTCGTCATCGCTGTAGTCATCTTCTTCGTCGCTATATTGCTCCTCTTCGTCTACCATCTCTTCGTCTTCGTCAGCAGAGTCCGCGTAATTGTAATTCGGATCGTACGAGATAAATTGCATCGCGAGCTTCAGTATGGTCTCGACATGAGGCGTAATCTCATTGTGACATCGACTCAAGAACGCTTCAAACGCTTGAAAACAGTTGCCACGAAGATCATCCGAGTCTTCGTGCTGCAGCGACTCGTCGGCTGGATCGCCACAGAACTGCACCAAGATGCGGATCACAGCGTCCAAATGCTGCCCCAGACGATGACCAGCCGTGCGGGAGAGCATGCCAATCGTCTGGATGAGCGTGCGCACGTTGGCTGCGTTGCTTGACGCCTGAATGTCTTGAATCAGATGCTCTACCAAGCGACTCACGAGCGCGTCCGAGGCCACAACCCCCAGCGCTCCCACACACACAGTTGCACGTTTGCGCACGAGCGGCGCTTCGTCCGTGAGCTGCTTTATCAGCAATTCCATGATCGCCGCGTGTTCGAGCGCCACGTCGTAGCCAAAGCGCCGCAAGAGGTCCGTAAGGATGTCGAGCGTCTCGGCTTTCACGGCCACCTCTTGCTCCGTGCCGAGCCCCGTCAAGAGCCGCGTGCAAATGCCGGGCGCGATCACGGCCGCCGTCTTGTGCGCCACGTCGGCAATGATCGTCTTGAGACCGATCGCGTAAATGTCCCGCAGCTCGGGCGTTCCCTTGTGAATGAGGTCGCAGAGTTTGCGGCAAATGTCGGCCACTTGGGCCGTCTGTACTTTCTTCACGAGAAGGCCCAGACACTTGACGGCAATCGACTGCACGTCGTTCGACTTGTCGTCGAGCTGCTTGAGGACAGCCGCACAGACGCTGGACACCGCACGGCGTGAGACACGAGCGAGAGAGAGAGAGCGCGAGAGAGAGTCATATACTATGGACGTACTCGGGCTCGAGATACGGTCCCAGTTCCACGTCCTTGTCGAGCTCGACGCACAGATCCGACGTGGCCATGTAGCGCTCATCTTTGTCAAAGTCCCTGGTCTAGAACCGTATACACAGAGAGAGAGAGAGACACACACATACATAGAGAGAGATGTGCGTTAGTACCGGTCCGCGTCGGTGCGGCGCTCGAGCCGTCGCGCACTTTGTCCAGCAGCTGCGCGATCTTGTGCTCGTGCGCGCGCATTTTCTCGGGGTGGCGATTGCGAGGGGAAAGGAAATGTGGTCCGAGTGGCGTGGGCCACGTCAACTGACCATCACTCTGCAATCAACTTCAACAAGGAGGAGCGAGCTCGAGGCAGTGCCACACTGTGCAACGAACGGCCCGAACCGACACATGTCGCTCGTTGCATTCTTTTCACGTCGACTGCACGTCGGTAGGTGCGTTGTAATACTGTAGTCAACGCAGTGTTGATACCTCTTTCCCGAGTCTTGTGCACACACGAGTCATGCAAAAGGGAAGAGGCCCCAAAGGCCGTCCGTCGACCGCTGCATCCGATGGCTGACGCAAGAAGGCGCAGCATCGCTGGCAGACCATCCAACTGATCCTAACTCGCTACTTAGGTGGCAAAGACACTCGATTTCGTCTCGGAACGCAAAGCTGGGACAAGCACCGAAAAGAGATGCACCCTCGGCCAGCATCCAGCAGAAGGCAGTCGAGACACTGCGGACAGCAGCGAAGCTCGTGGTCTGTGCTTCTTACTCGCAATGGAGACATGGGAGAAGAACTGTTGACTGCAAGACGAGCTGCATTGGCTTCAGCCATGTCATCAGTAGGCAAGAGCTTTGCTCTGCACGGAGACGATCGCCAGCGACGGTGCACTGCTGCCTACGTTCAATCGCGTCTACACGAAGTCAGACGTCCGTCCATCAGTGCGTCACGACGGCGTGGCGAACGGTGCGCAGCCATCTTCTGACCACATCTGCGACGTGTGCAAAGAAATGGCTACACTTTCGGTGGCTCGAATCACCATGCGAAATGGCAGTGCTCAACATGGCAGCGGGTCGGCCGGACACGACAGTGGCTTCGAGCGCGACGCTCCGCGACCTCCCGATCCATCGGGATATCGTCCGTGCACTCACTGCAATGCGTTTCCTGCGTCCGTCGCCCATCCAGCTGCACGCGCTGCCCGTGGCTCTGTTCGGCAACGACGTCATTGGTCAGGCCAAGTCCGGCACGGGTAAAACTGCAGTTTTTGGGGTCACTGCCATTGAGCACGCGATTCGATACGTCGAGAAGCGGCGGCAGCGATCCGAGAAGCTCGTGGTGGGGGACCCATTGGCGCTGATCTTGGCTCCCACGCGAGAGATTGCGGTCCAAATTGAGACAGTGTTGCGTCAGTTGGCGCAATTTCGACCAGAGATTGTCATTTGCACGTGCATCGGTGGCCTCGCTGTGAGTCAAGACCAGGTACGGATAGTGGAAGTGATGGTGTGATGTTTGTGGATACTTGAATGGTGCTGGCGTTTTGATCCAAAGAGGAATGCTGCACGTGCTGGCTGGGGCAGGTGCACTTATCAGCGGGATGCCATATTGTGGTGGGCACGCCAGGGCGTGTCAAGGCACTCGTAGATCAGCGTGCTCTGCCAAGCACGTCTATTCGCTTGCTGGTACTAGATGAAGTTGACAAACTCATGGCGCGCGACTTTGAGAAAGATGTGAGGATACGCACGTACGGCATGACGTCTGATTGAGGCGAGATTGACGAGACTCTCTCTCGCGTGTGAACAGATCCAGTACATAGCGAACGCTGTTCCCGAGAGACGTCAGGTGTTACGAAGCTGTGTGTACCGTGATGTGTGACTGGCAACTGCTTACTTGGTGACTGCATCGGTGCTGGAGCAGACACTCGCGTTTTCAGCAACGTTCACTCCTGACCAATTGCTTTCGGTGGCGTCCCTGATGAGAACTCCACAGGCACGTCTGCTTGCTGTCACACGTTTTCAGTCGATCTGGTAGTGGTGCTTTGCATGACGCTCTACGCTTTTGTTCTACTTTGGACGTTGCACAGATTGTCAGAGCTCGCGGACCAGAGGAAGTCACAACGGATTTCATTTCGTCTTCCGAAGACCTTGTGAATTGGGAGAAGCAAGAGCAATCGACTACACCAGAGCTCTGGCTTCGCCAGGTGCGGCAGTTCTACAGCATAATCGAGCCATTGCCGTCCGCATCGATGGGCAGTGATCCACTTGATATGAAAGCCAAGGTGGTTAAGCTATCGGTACTACTCTCAGAGATCGTGTTCGAGCAGTGCATGGTGTTCTGCAACGACAAATTTCGAGCTGAAGCGCTGGCCACAGCTCTGGTGAAACAGGGTTGGCCCGCAGCATGCATCACTGGGTCACAGGCTCAATCGACGCGATTGGAAGTCATGGAAGGGTTTAGAGAGTCACGATCACGCGTGTTGGTGTCGACCGATCTCACTGCGCGAGGCATTGATGTTGACAAGGTCAACTTTGTGGTACGGTGGTTGAAGCCAATGCCGTCCAGTGTAGCGCCGTTTTTGGTGAACACAGTGTGGACTAACGAATGCCGCATGACCTCGTAGGTGAACTTGGATTTACCGCGGGACCCCGCAACGTACTTGCACCGTGTTGGACGAAGTGGGCGTTTCGGTGGGAAAGGATTGGCTGTGACGTTGCTCTCGTGCAGTGACATGCAAAGCATCCACCTCCTCGGTCAGGTGTTCAAGATGGAGATCAGCGAGCTGCCATCTCCAGTTCCTCTCGACATTTACACGTACGTCGCTGTAGCGGGAGATGGCGATCCTGGCGAAGCAGTGCAGTCGACAGCGTTTGCAGATCCAGACACGCCGCCTGCTACAGAGACTAGCAGTGAAGTTACCGTCTGCGATGCTGAAAGCGACATCAAGAGTGCGAATACCAATCAGAGTGCAGAGCAGCACGTCGCAGTTGATAAGTGGTCATCGCGAGCTCGGTACGACGCGGAGGAACGAGCGTATGAGCAGTGGTTGAAGCTGTTGCTGTAGTCGAGCAGGTTTTGCAGCAACGAATGTGGTTCATCGAGCGATACGCAATGGACAGACACATGCTCATGTGACTCGCTGCATGTTGTCAGAGATGCAACAGGGACTTCAACGTGGTCGTGTGGCATGGTATGTAGCCATGCTGGATGGACCACCGGTCCGATTGTGACAACGTATGTGCATTAGGTGGCACCGACTTGCTAGCAGGCACTTTTGCATGTTCGTCGAAGGTTCTTTGCGTACCCAATCTAAGCCAGCGAGGTCAAGTTGCTACCCAAAATAGAAAGCGTCTTTCTCTTGACCCTCGTAGTCATGGCCCCATTTCTGGCCTGTGCTCGGGAAAATTACGAAATCAGCCAGCGGGAGTACCGTCTCCCTCTGTCGTTTCGCATGATCCTGCGATAACGTATGTTACGACTGCGACACAGCGCCGATACTCCGCCTGCTCTTTGTGCCTCGAGCCGCGCGACTGTCCTTCCTTCCTTCCTTCTACCCTGTCAAACGCGATACTTCTCTCGCGGACTCTGCTTGCGTCAAACCCCTTCAAGCGCTTCGCACTCACTCACTCGCGCGCGCTCTCTCTCTCGAGACGTCGCTTGGCCAACGCGCGCACCTGTCTGTAGCCGTCACATCCCCTCGTAACCGCTCGTGGCCCCTTCCACTACCACCGCCACCACCACCACAACTCCAACTACAAGCAACACACTCGTCCATACCGGCCATGCCTGCAAGCACGAACCGCAAGGTGGCGTCGCTCTCGACCGCCACCACAGCCTCATCCCTCTCCTCCTCCTCCATCACCGACCAGAGCCACAAGAACCCCACCAGCGATCCCCACAACCCTACCAGCGACCCCCACAACCCTACCAGCGATCCCCACAACCCTACCAGCGACCCCCACAACCCTACTAGCAAATACCCTACCCGCAGCTCACCCCGCCATGGCAATAGCAATAGCAGTCGTCGCACCGCTCGCGCTCCGCATGTGCCGTCCCGCCCGTCGCTGCTTAGTTACGAGTCGGCCCACGACGTCGTCGCGCAGCACCAGGTGTTCCAACGTGCGACGTCGGCCAAGACCTCGACGGCTGACTCGTTCCGCTCGGCGTCGAGCGCGAGTCCCCGCGGCTGCTCGTCGTCGGCCTCGTCGCCCACGGCCGAGTCGATCCTCAAGGTCGTGCTCATTGGCGACTCGGGCGTGGGCAAGTCGAACCTCGTCCGGCGCTTCACGAAGAACCAGTACAAGCCGCAGAGCGCCCAGACCGTGGGCTTTGAGTTCGCCACCAAGACCATTCGCGTCGGGGACCGGCGGCTGAAGGCGCAGATCTGGGACACGGCCGGCCAAGAACGCTTCCAGTCGCTGACAGCGGCGTACTATCGCAAGGCCGTGGGCGCGATGATTGTCTACGACATTACCGACCGCAGCTCGTTCGAGCACGTGACGGGGTGGCTAGCACAAGTGCATGAGCACTCGCACGAGAGTTTGGTGCTCGTGCTGGCCGGGAACAAGTGCGACCTCGCCCACTTGCCCGAGAGCAGAGAAGTGTCGACGCTCGAAGCGGCGCGGTTTGCCGCAAAGCACTCGATGGAGTTTCTCGAGACGTCGGCTCTGGACTCGACGAACGTCGTCGACGCGTTCAAGAAGATGATTGTGCCCGTAGGGCGGTTGCTGTCGTCCGCAGAGCCGACTGCGATCGTGCAATTGCCGCAAGGGTGGCGGCGGGTGTTGTCCAGGACGAGGCCGGGGGAGTACTCCTACGAGAATCAGTACACCAAGGAGCGCATTGCGTTTGCCCCGAAAGAACCGGCAAAGCCCTCGCAGCAGAGCTTTCGCTCGCCTGCAAATGGGTTGAAGAGCGGGTCGCCAAAGGTTGTCACCGTCACACGTGAGAGCCTGCAGAAACAGCATCAGAAAGCGTATCTCGCCCAGAACCAGACGCCGCAATGTGGTGTCTGTGCAAGTGGCTGCACGATCATGTAGAAGCCCGTGACTCAAGATGAAGGGCACAGGGCCGAAATAGAAAAGCACGCGCGGATTGACGTAAGATGGAGTCGTTGAATTGACTGCAGCGACCTCGTGGCTGGTAAGACCAAGTCGTCGAATGTCTCTGCTAACATAATTTATTCCTCACCTTGTGCGTGACAAGCTCAAGGACAAAGACGCTCAAGTTGTTCATTTTCTCTATGTAGATAAATCCCTGCGATGAATGACGTCGAGCTACTACAAACGCACGACTGAGTCCCGCGCCACAGTCGCTTTGCTGCTAACTGCGAGTGTCCAGCCAGCAAAGAAAAACAGCGCCAGTCGCAACACCACACGCGCACAAACGCGGTCAACTTGCACCATGTCGTGCAAACTCTCGACAAATGGCTCAATTCTTCTCGCTGAGCGTCTTGCGAATGTGCTCGGCCACAGCAGCAGTCGAGTTGTCTGCCGTCGATACTCGAGTGGGCATCGATTCCAGGGCCTTCAAGATCGGGTGCTGCTGGATCTCCGACTCGGCCACACCAAGCGCCTCGGACACAACGGGCAGAAACTTGCCATAGTGCGCAGTGCCCACGACGACCACTGCCGAGTCGGGCTTGTCAGCGCTGGCGTCCGAGTCGAAGCGCGCGGCTGCAGCCGCGCCAATCGCACTGTGTGGGTCAAACAGGTAATGCTGCACCTTGTTGTACTCTGCAATGGTCGAGCACACCTCATCCTGGAGCACGGCGTACGAAGCCATTTCGTCCTGGGCCTTGGCCAGCAGCTCGCCTGTGATCGTCAGCTCCCCCGTTTGCTCAAACGCTTGCATCCAGCCGCGCAAGACGTCGTGGTTTTCGCCCGACAAGGCAAAGAGGTAGCGCTCAAAGTTGCTCGAGACGCAAATGTCCATCGACGGCGAGATCGTGTGCGCAATGTCGCGGCGGTCGTACTTGCCGGTCGAGAAGAAGCGGTGCAGGATGTCGTTCTCGTTCGTCGCGACAATGAGTTTGCCCAGGGGGACCCCGAGTTTCTTGGCATAGAACCCTGCCAGGACGTCACCAAAGTTGCCCGTGGGGACCGAGAACGCAATGTCACCCGTCACGCCCTGTTCCCGCGCCCGAAGGTACGCCCACACGTAGTAGACAATCTGGGCCAAGATGCGCGCAAAGTTGATCGAGTTGACGGCGCCCAAGTGGTACGTGGCGTTGAACGCCGCGTCGGCAAACAGATCTTTGACGATCGCTTGGCAGTCGTCGAACGTGCCCCGCACCGCCACGTTGTGGATGTTGGCGTCCATTACAGTCGTCATCTGGCGCTGCTGAATCGCACTCACGCGGCCCTCGGGGAACAGAATGAACACCTCAATGTTCGCTTTGCCGCGCAGGCCGTAGATCGCCGAGCTGCCCGTGTCGCCCGACGTGGCGCCCACGACCGTAATCGCGTGCGCAGGAGCCCCTGCAGCCGCTTGTCGCTCGTTCGCGCGCGCGAGGAACACGTCAAAGAGGTTTCCGAGGAACTGCAGCGCAATGTCTTTGAACGCAAACGTGGGGCCGTGAAAGAGCTCGAGCACGAGCAGTTGGTCCGTGACTTTGACCAGCGGCGCCACGTCGGGCGCGCGGAACGTCGCGGGGCTGTAACTCTTCTGCACGAGCGCGTCGAGTTCGGCCGACGAGAGCTCTGCGTCGTCGACAAAGAGCCGCATGACCTGCGCGGCGAGCGACTGGTACGACAGCGACTGCCACTGGTCCAGCGCGTGGACGGGCAGCGTCGGGAACTCGTCGGCTTCCGGCACGAGCAGTCCGCGGTCGGCCGCGAGGCCCGTGAGCACGGCCTGCTCGAAGCTGAGGCCGCGGACGCCGCCGCGCGTGCTGCAGAAGCGGACCATCGCGGGGAAAACGAGAGAGCGCTTTGTGTGTGGGGGGGGCAGAGATGGGTACAAATGTACGTGTGTGTGTCTGGGCGGGGACGAGCGCGTGGCGCGACCTTCGAGCGACACGCGGGTGGGCGACGCGTGATTGGCGGTGGTCTGCCAGCGTTTCGCTTCGTGTGGAGTGCCCTTTCGCACACGCTTTGGAATCGGCGGAAAAGCGATTGGACACTCGTTTTGGATCGACATTTGTCGACTGCGTGCCCAGTGCAGACAGGAATGATGTCGCCACCAAACGTTTTCGAGGTATTTACACAGACATAATCGAATACAACGGTGTCATTATCGCCAATGAAGAGCGCTGGACGAGAGCGTTATGTGGCGACAGCCCTTTTTAGAATTGGAGGCCGACACACAGCCTAAGGAACGCCAAGAAGAGCGAAGTGGGTAGTCAAATAATGATGTAGCCATTACGCATCGCCGCGTTACATGTCACTACTGTCACGGCGTTGTTTGGCGTCCGTTTGCGTTTGTTGCAATGCCTGCTTGCTCATGCAACTGTGTATGATCTCATATTCTGCAGCAGTATGCCGAGGGGCAAGAACTTGACAGAACAAGAGATGGAAAAGGTGAAAGCCTTCAATGATACAAGCATGAGTCATCGAGAGATCGCTCGACGCATGAGTCGATCTCGAGGCGTCGTTAAACACTTCTTGAACGATCCCCGTCGCCTATAGTGCGTACAAACCAGCCGGAAGACCACCCGTTTTGACTGAAATGGCCCGCTGCCGCCTGCTCCGTGTCGCTCAGGGGGGTAAATTATCTGCACGGGAGCTCCAAGCGCAACTGGAACTCCCAGTCAGTGTTTCTAGAGTCAAGCAGATCTTGAACGAAAGCCCTCCACTCAAGTTGTGCAATCGAAAGCATGCACCAGTGCTTACCGAAAGGCACAAAACAGCTCGTGTCGATTGGTGTGCTGAGAGATGCCGTCTCTCCGATGACGATTGGACCAAAGCTATTTTTTCAGACAGAAAGAAGTTTAATCTGGATGGACCAGATAGATGGATTCCACGACTATTGGCACGACTTGAAGAGCGAAAAGCAGGTCTTTTCGACTCGTCAATCCAGTGGTGGCTCAGTTATGGTATGGGGTGCCTTTGGAGGCGCTAAAACTAGCATGTTGGCTATCTTAGAGGGGAAGCAAAACAGCGAGAAGTACGTAAGCACACTGGAAAACTATCTCGTGCCTTTTGTGGACGAGCTGGGTGGTACTGGACTGGTTTTTCAGCAGGAGAACGCACCAATACACCAATCTCGGTATACGAAGGCGTGGCTTGCGGACCAAAGTTTTCCTGTCACGACTGGCCAGCGAATTCGCCGGACTTAAGCCCAATCGAAAACGTATGGGGCGAGCTTGCCAGGGCCGTATATAAGAATGGGCGGCAATTTCGGTCGCGAACTGAGCTGACCGAGTGCATTTTAAAGTGCTGGAGAGAAATTGGCGCCGCTTACCTTCAAAAACTTGCCCATTCGATGCACCAACGGTGCGTGGAAGTGCTGAAGAACCACGGTAACAAGATTGACGATTAGGGACTCCTAGCAACGCTAAGCTCGAGCCGATGATCAGTTTTTCCTTTTGTGGCTATATCATTATCGTCGTACACTGTTCACATTCAGCATCATAACTTTTGATCACAAGTCGAAACTTACAAAGCAAAGAATTGTCATATTTGCCGTTGAAAGGGTTACATGTTGTTACCTTTGCTGTCCTAACACCCGGCTTGCTTGCTTCCAAGTTGTAAAACGAATGGGTGACAATATCATTCCTGTCCGCACTGTACAAAGAGGTTGGTCGTTCATCTTGGTCGTACTCTGCTGCAAACAATTGCATTTCCACTGTACGCACACCACTTGCAATGCTCGGCGAGAGAGTATGTGCGAACTTGAAAAAAAAGGAATATCTCAGCGCGCTACTAAGCTCTTTACTACATACGGTCTCCTCACAAAGTACAGACTGTCAAACGATAGTCTTCAACTCATATTTTCTCGCAACGAATCACGACGAACATACACACTCTGCAAGTATCGTAGTTTCCAAGGGTTCCAAGTAGTCATGAACCACCGGGACATATCATCAAGCACGTCTCTCGATGACTTCCCCGATCAGCCCATACATACGATCGATTGCCACGTGTTTGGGCGTCTCGCGTATTTATGTGGCAGGTCAAATATTCTGGACGATAGATACAACGTCGGAGCTAACGCAGTGCGATAATGAAATACAATAACGATGTGGTAATGAATGATCGACGCTCTGGCAATAGCAGACACACATGCGTTTCACTGCCATTTCTTTCGCAGGCACAAGGTCTGCCTACGCTGCGACTAACGTCCGTATGCATCACTTGCTATCAAATTGCGTACCACTGCTGCCTCGCATCATTTGTTTACCCGGTGATATGATATTGTGCCAAAGCTTTCTCGCTAGTGACACACCTTTAGGATACTCGATCTGCAAACGTCATTGCTACGTAATGAGTTACATTGACACCTGCGCGAGACCGAGCGTTGTAAGTCACGCCGTGGAACTTTTACGGTCGCTATCCCCTTCTCAGCAAACTATGCTGCCAATCCGCATCGCACCGCACATGCATTTGTGTGGTATGTACGTGTTCCTACAAGCTTGCCACAAGCTTACAAACGGTAGCTCGAGTACGTAATCGGTAGGCCGAGCCGGCATTAACACCTGTTGTTTTGTCGTCGGCATAGTTGTGGTATCCCAATTCTCTTCTTCTTTCTTGTTCTTCCTTGTCTTTGTCTTCATTGCAATGTTGTTTCAAATCAAAGACGACATCATCATCACCTTCGAATCGTTGTATTGCGGCCGCATACAACCAACCAGTGGTCTTCACATGGCTTCATTGCGTACAGCGCGTAAGACATCAGACTGCTCACTGCTGCTTTTGTCCCTACTTTGTCCTTCTCCAGCTGGCACAAGATGACAGATAGAACGACCTGCAGGTGCCGATGTGTGTGATTGTTCCAGCACAAGCTGCTCTACCTCTCAGATGCTTGTCCAGTCAATCGACATGCAATGTATGATGCTCCTACGTCCGAAAGAGTGGGAATGGCATACGATGGCATCTTCTCAGTATGCAAATAACAATTGTTGTGCACATCCTCCGAGTGGCAAAGAAAGTCGAGCGCGTCGAAAACAAGGCCAAAAGGTGGCTTGGCATGAAGCATCAGCTGGATGGCGGCGTGAAGACTAGAAGCCTTGGACCTCCGTGCGGACAATGGAAATGCGAGCTTCCCACGATGACTTCCTTGGATCGAAAAGGGTCGGAAAAACCAACAAAGAAATTCATTTTGCTCGAGTGCTACCTCCTTTGGGGTTTCCACAGACTTCCTCTTCTTCTTCTTCTGGCCGGGATCCAGCGGCGGTTTTCACCCGGTCGGATCCGCGTTACGTGAGAGTATACCTCAATGTTTCTCATCCTGAGTTAGTTCTGGCCGAACTGGAACATGGTCGGCTGGTCGGACGATGTGCCGAACTGGAACTGCTGTGCGTTTGCATCCGCGTCGGGCGCTAGGCTATCTTCCGCATCTTCCTCGCCGTTGAAGTATGCTTCAACGATTTTCATGGACTTGACGTAAATGTCTGCAGCACACATCGTTCAGTTTTAAGCACCCACCGCCAAGTACGAATTGCATCCAGCAAGCATGCATATCGTACCTTCGTTGGCATGGTACTGCAAAGCCTGGATCTTGGACACGCCATCCGCCTCGTCAATCATCGTTGCAACGTCGTTGATGTCGTTCGTCTTCTGCTGCTCGCCCGCTCGCAAAATGTTCTCGAGGCCCTCGAGAGCCACAATCACAACCTTCGCATCCTTCACCTCCAGGAGGTCGCACAACGGTTTTATGCACCCTGTGCATGCCAAAAACACACCAGTCAGCGTCACGACATGAAAAGAGGAAAAGCAGTCAGTGCACGTACCAAGACTAACAAGGTGCATGATCTGCTCGACTGATCCACCCGACGTGGCATTCGACACTGCCCACGCCGCTTCTTTGCGGATATCAAACTCAGCCGTGGACAGGAATCCAATGAGGGTAGGGAAAATGTCGGCCATCATGATAAACTGGATTTGCTCTTGGTTGCCAGCCGTGATGTTGGACAGTGTCCAGCAAGCCTCCTTTCGGATTCCCTTCTTCGGGCTTTCCAAAAGCGCACGGAGGCACGGCAACGCATTCAGATTGATAATGACCTGTGTCTGCAAGTCGTCGCCAGTCACGATGTTACCGACCGTACGCAGAGCAGGCGTCTGCACGGAAAAAGAGTGGTGCATCAGCAATTCGACGATCCGCCGGCAGACACCAGCTTCAATCACAGCTTGGATCTTCTTGTTCGAGCCATCTGACAGGTAAGACAGTGCCCAGCACGCGTCCGTCAGCACTTCCTCGTCGTGGGTGTAAATGAGCTGGCCCAGAGTCGGGAGCGCGGGCGCCACGAGCTCAAACTGCGGCTGTGGCTTGCCCCGGCAAAAGTTTGACAGTGTCCACGTAGCGTTACGAAGCATCGTCGGCTTCGAGTTCTCTGTCAACTGCTGCATGAGTGGACGCAGGGCACCGCAGCGCAGAACCATGTCACGGCACTCGATAGAGTCACCGGCAATGTTTCCAAGAGCCCACACAGCCTGCTCGCGCACGTCATCGTTTGTTGATAGCAAAAGCTGGCAGAAAATAGGCACAGCACCATGATTGATCACGACCTCGGTGTCTACAGAGGTGCCCGATGCAATGTTTGTCAAAGCCCAGGCAGCTTCAAACTGCAGCGTGGGAAAATCCTCGCGCTGGAGAAATTGCACAAACGTAGGCACGACCCCAGTGTCAATCACTTCCTTGATCGGCGGATTACGCTCTGCGACCGACATCCAATTGTACACACAATTGCACAGCAAAACAAAATCAGTATCCACACGTCTTGCCATCAACACTGTATCTGCTCCTCCCAAGCACCAACCGCACGCACCGATCGACAAGAGCTTGCGGAACTTGGTCACTGCTTCGAGTTGGACAGCCGCGTCACTCGACTGCACGCCCGCGACCATCTGCGGCAGCTCCGACAGCTACAGAGCAGCACCAATCAACACAGAATGCAATGTCAGCACAGACCACTCACTGCATGTGACACAAGGTCAAGGACTTGTACCCGCTGAGCAAGCGTCAGCTCGCCCGCTGCATCATCCGCGGCGGGAGTAGCCGCCGCTCTGCTGTCCTCCGGCGCCTACAGCAGCAGCAGCAGCACGACGCAATCAGCAAGAAGAAAAAAAGAGAGTCAGTACCACGTCCATCAGTGCCACTCTACACTCGCCCACAATGACAAGTAACTGACACCACACGCACAGAGAGACAACAGAAAACAGACACAGAGACACGCAAAGAGACTCAAAAGGGCGTCGAACCCGACCGCTGGTGTTCCAGCAGCAGCAGCAGCAGCTTTTCTCTCCCCCAGTGCGTTTTTTTTGTCACGTGCTGCTGCTACTTCACACAGCGCTCGCCCCGACGCTTCTCCTTCGTCTCCTTCTTCCGTCTGTACGTGTAGTGTGTGTGTGTCTCTCTCTCTCTCTCTTTTCTCGCTCGTACCATTCGACGGCGCTGGTTGATACGGTCCTCTTTGATCGTCTTGCGGATCTGCACTGTCGTCTCGAGACGGCTCCGACGCGACTCATCGGCGTCGATTCCCTTCTTGAACAACGTTTTGCGCTCGGGCGCTTTACCCGCAGGGAACGACATGACAACTGCGACTGAGTGCGACGACGACGAGCGACTGAGCGACTGACTGCGTGCGTGCGTGGGACGCGCTTTTCCTTCTTTGGCCCTTCACGCCGGCGCGGCCAGTAAAGTGGCGAGGAGTCTGTGTGGCCCACGCGAGGCGAGAAGCAAGGTTTTACGAGGGAGCGAGAAAAACCTCGGTCGATCGCGCGGATCGCGTGGGTATTGCGTCACGTGCAAAAGAGGACGCACCGACCGACCGACCGACCGACGACCGACCGACCGACCGACGACCGACGACGGGAAGTGGGGAGAGCGTGCATAGAAGCGACACGTCTATGGGAATCCACCGCAAGTCGCGGGCGTAGCTGCTCGCGTTCGTGGGTGTGGTACACCCGCACGTCGTCACCACAGCCTCATCTCGAGTGGTCTCTTGTTGCTCCGAATCGGTGCGAGTCCGAGTGCAGTTTCGTTCCGCCACTTTGCTCCAATTTGGACTACAGCACTGCGTCGTGGAGCTGCAAAGAGGTCGAGTGGGAGTGCTGCCGAGCACGACCTGAGCCACATCGGGTGGCCGTGACGCCTAAAGAGGTTGCAATCGTATGTCCCATTGAGACTCAGAGGCGCAGCGATTGAAGCGCGTGTCTCGACTCGGATTGCGCACACAGCAACGCGATATATCCAACAGCAGTTGCAAGTGAGGCAGAGCGCTTCAAAGCAGTGCTCTTCGCACTTCGCACCGACCAGAAACTGCCCTTACAGTGCTGCAATCCAATGCACCTGACGAGTGCGGCGTACGCATATGTCGTTCGTCTGCACGCAACGCGTAGAAGTTGTCGTACGCGCTGCAGCTTCAGACCGCTGACGACAGTAACGCCACTACTGTCACAGCGCGTTGCAATGCACAGCGCGTGGGGTCACAGCACAGACGTAACGTCCGTGTGCATCGACGACGACGCCACCAACGAGACGTCCACATTGTCCATACGGCACTCGTAAGGTGTGTTGTCCGAATACTTACCAACTACTGACTGACTGACTGACTGACTGACTGACTGACTGACTGACTGGCCGTGTGCACGATCAGGACAGAGCGTTTGGGTTGACTTGACCCGACGCAGTGGTGAAGCCATATCCCAAGTGGCTACATCAGCGGGTGGCCAGCAAGCGACGTAGCGTCTCAGGGCCGAGCTGTCATGTGGAAGCGGCCGCTGCGCGACGTCGTGATGCGCTGTCACGTGGGCAATCTGCGCGTGTCGGGCGTCATGGCACGCAACGTGGTGGCCGAAATGGCGCAGCGGTGGCACCTGCTGCTGACGTCCCAAGGCACGACGCTCTGGGGCGAGTACATGGCCGGCACGACTATGGCGAGCGCCTTCTTCAAGAGCGAGGAGCGCGTCAAGGTGGTGGTCAAGACGTCGGCTATCGAAGAGCTGTACGTCGAGGCCATGGCCGCTGGAGAAGTCCGGGGCAAAGCTGTCTACCAAGACGCGTCTCGTGCTGCCGCGTTGCCTGAAGCAGGAGGAGTCATGCGCGTCTCGAAGGTTCTCTACGGCGCAGCGACGCCGTACGACACATCGGTTGAGGCATGTGGAGTCCCAGAGCTGGACTGGCAGCGGTTCTTTGACGTGTCGGAGCAAGTCCCGACGATCGTCCGCATCGACAGCGAAGCTGACCAGGACCACACGCGCACGTGTGGGCTTATTGTCCAGCAAATGCCCCGCGCAGAAGCACACGAGCGCCACTACGAACTCGAGGAGCTGGCGTTCGACAAGCTCCCGTTTTTAGCGACGGAGCTCAGGCAGAACACCGACTTGCTCGCGTATCTAAACGAACTGGTTCCAGGTGCTGAGATCACGGACAAGCACTGCAAACTCGTGCCGCTGGATTACTTCTGCCGCTGCTCGAAGGAGACGTACGCACAACGACTCGGAGCCATGTGCGCCACGGATCTACAGCACATTGCGGCCGAAACAGGCGATAAGGGTGTCGACCTCACTTGTCATTTCTGCAACGACGTCCACCACTTTTCTGCTGGTGAGCTGGACAACCTGATCAAGTCGTTGCCATAACTCTGGTAAGACGAACGACGAAGAACACGTATCAACACGATTCAAACGGTTCCTAGGATGGAGATATCTGTCGTGCATGCCTCTAGCCATCTTGTCCAAACTCTTGAGTCCACTTCACAAAGCGACTGAGCTCGTTGGAAGCAACCGTTGCAGTCGAGTGCTCCAACACCCTCATGAAGTCGCCCTGTCGTCATCAAACAGTGCGTATGGGTCAGATGAAGCGCAGCAAGAAACACAGGAAAGAAGGAATCATAGACATGGGCGTCGTTACCATGGAGACCATAGGCGGCCGCAGCTTTTCGTCGGAGAAACCTCGCCCTGCCAAATCGTATAGCTGCATGCGCAGCGCTCCGCAACGTCGACACGGAGACTTGCAGTCCGAGCATGTCAGACGACATGAAGAGAGCTTCATGTGGCAATAAGCACAAGGCGGGTCGTCTTCACAAGGTGTCAAAAATGAACCGTTTCGAGTAGGATGCGCCTTGTCATCGCACTGCACCACACATCGCGGTTTTGCGTCAAATTAGAATACCTCAAGCTGTACATCAATCGCAATCACTATCATTCTTACCGGAGCAAAGAACTGCGCTTGTTGGCACTTTCGAAGAGGCTCCATCAAGGCATCTCGCACAATCACCGAGATATCTGAGCCTGAGCAGCTGAGAATACAGCAAGATCAAAGCCGTCGTTTAGAACCACCCCTTTGTCGAGCTGCTCACGAGTGCTATCGTACCCTTCCGTTTTCTCTGCAATCGACGTGAAGTTAGCATCACTCAGTTCGTTCGGCGTATCACCCAAATGGATCGCCAGCATCACTTTCCGTGCAGGAGTTTCAGGAAGCGGGATGTAAATGCGCTTTTCGAATCTGCACACCACAACGCACTATCAGCTATTGCCCACCTCTTCTTATGCATGTTTGTGAATTACCGTCGTCGCATGGCTGGGTCAAGTTCCCATGGTACGTTCGTAGCTCCGAGCACCAGAACGCCATCATGGTTGTTGCCTATGCCTTGCATCTGAACAAGAAATTCGTTCTTAATGCGGCGCGTTGAGTCGCTTTCGCCCTCAGATCGACTCGAGCATAGCGAGTCAATCTCGTCGATGAAAATGATAGCAGGCTTCCTTTCGCGCGCCATCTCGAAGAGATTCTTGACCAACCTTGCGATAAAAACGAGTGAGTCAGCACAGGTGAGCAAGAGTGGTGCTTTATCATCACAATCAAACGAAAACAAAACGTACTTCTCGCTCTCGCCTTGCCACTTGGATACCAAGCTTGATGATGAGACGGCAAAGAACGTGGCGTCTGCTTCAGTCGCGACGGCTTGCGCAAGGTAAGACTTACCTGTGCCTGGAGGCTACAATCCACGTCCAGCAGATAAGTCCACTTTGTACAAAAACGATCACGTCTTCGTTCGAGCACTCGAACGTACCCCATACAGCAAAATACCTTTCCACGGACGGCGCTTTCCCGTAAAAAGCTGCGGGAAGCGTGCCGGTAGAATCACCGCCTCTTTCAGCGCCTCTTTTGCAGCACCTAGTCCCGCAACATCATCCCACTTTACATTTGGCTTCTCCGTTACAACAGCCGCTGCGCCATCAAGTTGTCCACAACCACCCTCGAGACAAGTCAGTTCCAGTGAAACCGAACCTCATCTTCTGCTCTCGAAAGCAAACCTCACAGTTCAGTGCACCGCGCAGTTTTGCGGTCTCTGCGTCGGTCTCATCGTCGTCCTCCTTTTCTCCTCTGCACACAGTCCACAAGCAGCAGCGGCATCAGCATCATCAACTAAAACGCCATCACGTTCGCAGCCATCGACATCGACTCACTTGTCGACACCCACTGCAGCCGCCACTGCCTTAGGCGCGTTCTCTTTCTCCAGCATCCCTCGCAGTTGCTCTGCCCGTGTCATATAGCCCTCTACGCGCTTCATGATAACGTCCTTTGACGTCGGATTCTTCTCATCTGAGTGAAACAGTTTCACAGTGATACAGCATGAGCGATCGCGACTGACGTCTACCCAATTTATGGTTCAACCCAGCGCTGTGTAGAACAGCACTACAGTCGCGCTATGTGACGCTGGCTCGATCACGTGCCGTACATTTGACGCCGACCATAAAGTGCTCCAGCGCCTTCTTGTACAGCCGGAACGCCTCCTCATAGTTCTTGCTGTTGTCTTCGTTGATGGCCTCTTTCACGATCTCTATCGCCTGTGGAATAAACTTATTCTCCATCTTCACGCGGCGCGGCGCTTCTTCAGTAGCTTTTCGTACGGAAGACGCGGCGAGGAGTGGTGGAACGATAGCCGATTGGCCAAAACAGCTTCTGATTTCAACCAACGAGAATGTCGTCTGGGGTTACGGTCACTGTGCGGCCCGAGACGACGGTCATGCCAGATTGACGTGAGTTTCGATGCTGGAGTTACTAAATTCCAGTATGCTGTCTGACTGTCTGTCTGACTGACCGACTGACTGACTGACTGACTGACTGACTGTCCGTCTGACTGTATGGGTGTGTCGCATGTGACTGTGGATAACGACGTGCACGTTGTCGAGCATAGCGAATCCATTCTTGCACTACTACAATTGGCAACTCGTAGCGTTACACATCTGGGCGTGCGCTGCTTTTGGTCGAATTTGAACAACTTCCAGGTGTGCAATGTGTGTAAGAAGCTTTGCGCGGCCAAGAACGGACCAGGACATTAACCGTCATGCACTTTTCTAGCTGCTGACGCATCATCAGTAGACGCAGAAGTAGGGTCAGTGAAGAATCGAACGATCGGATACTTGAGCGCATGGTCGTCGCCACAAGGGGTCAATGTCTGTGACATTAGTCGCACCGAAGGAAGCTTGCAATGCATGTTGATCCACCTCTGGATCAATACGTACGGCAAGAGTCGCAGATCTTACCGGCGACCATGGTCTTCCGCAACGCTTCGAAGACTCGGGAGCACTTGTCTTGGACCGGACTAGCACTTGATGTGCAAAGATCGACACAAGAACGAACACACGCTCGCCAAGCACAAGGAGAAAGGGTGCTCGAAGAAAAAAGGCGTTCGTCATCCGATAGAAAGCTCAGACATTAAGACAGACTAGCGGTACCACAGGGTCACCACACTTATAGCAAAATGCTGCCACCGACTCACGGCGTTCTATTGTGTATAGCCGTAGCCAACATGAGGGTCAAGAAAAAACGGCACACAAAGCAATGGCTACAACAGTAATGGCTACAACAGTCATGGCTACAACAGTAATGGCTACAACAACACGTCCGACTGACTTTGCAGTGCCCAGCGACGCTGTGATTGGTCGATAGATGTAGCCATCTGGTCACGCAGTGGTTGGCTGGCGGCTCAAGAGCTCGCCAGGAGCTCAGAATTGAACTCGCCGTCTCCGTTCCTCATGGCCGACGCGTCGTCCCCCGTCACGAACCGCAAGCAGGTGGCCATCCTGGACTTTGGTTCGCAATACAGCCACCTGATTGCCCGTCGCGTGCGGGAGCTGCACGTGTTCTGCGAGCTCTACTCCTGCCTCGTCAGCGCCCAGGAGCTGCGTCAGCACCAGCTCACGGGCATCATCTTGTCGGGTGGTCCACAGTCGGTCTTTGACGAAGGAGCACCGCACGTTCACCAGGACGTGTGGAAGCTCATCGAAGAGCAGAACCTGCCGGTGCTCGGTATCTGCTATGGACTGCAGGAGCTCGCCTTTACCAACAATGGCAAGGTCGCGCCCTCCCAGCACCGCGAGTATGGCAAGGCCATTGTGACCCGCAAGAACGGCGTGAACTGTGGTGGTCTGCTCGAAGGGCTACCGGACGAGTTCCAGATGTGGATGAGCCACGGCGACAAGCTGCACGCCAAACCCGATGGATTCGTGGACATTGCGACGACCGAGAACTCGGAGCACGCCGTGATTGTCAACGTCGCCCGCAAGATGTACGGTATCCAGTTCCACCCAGAGGTGACGCACAGTCCTCTTGGCAAGGATATCTTGCGCAACTTCGTGGTCAACATTTGCAAGTCGCCAACGGATTGGGACATGCGCAGCATCGCTGACGCGTTCATTGAGGAGGTGCGCGAGACAGTAGGTCCCGACGGTCATGTGATCGGTGCCGTGAGTGGTGGAGTCGACTCGTCTGTGGCTGCTGTGTTGCTGCAACGTGCTCTTGGCGATCGCTTCCATGCTGTGCTCATTGACAATGGCCTTTTGCGTCAAGACGAGGCTGTTGAGGTTGTTGAGCGACTGCAGAGCAAATTGGGCATCAATCTAAAGTGCATTGAGGCATCCGATCGATTTCTTACTGCTCTCAAAGGCGTCACAGAGCCTGAGGCGAAGCGAAAGACGATTGGCAATCTGTTCATTGAGCTGTTCCAGGAAGAGGCCAAGAGCATTGGACACTCTGTCGATTACTTGCTGCAAGGTACGCTGTATCCGGACGTGATTGAGAGCATCTCGTACAAGGGCCCGTCGGCCACGATCAAGACGCACCACAATGTCGGTGGCCTTCCGGAGAAGATGCACCTCAAACTTATTGAGCCCCTTCGCGAGCTGTTCAAGGACGAGGTCCGTGAGCTCGGCATAGCTCTTGGCATTGACGAGCCCAGCGTATGGCGTCACCCGTTTCCAGGTCCGGGTCTTGCCATCCGTGTGCTTGGCGAAATCACGCCCGAGTCGCTCAACACTCTGCGTCACGCCGACTCGATCTTCATTGAGGAACTGCGCAAGAGCGGCCACTACAAGACGACGGGTCAAGCTTTCTGTGTCCTGTTGCCGGTGAAGTCTGTGGGTGTCATGGGCGACGGCCGCACGTACGAGAAGGTCATTGCGATTCGAGCAGTCAGCACGTCGGACTACATGACGGCCGATTGGTACCACATGCCGTACGAGGTACTCGGCCGCATGTCGAACCGCATCATCAACGAGGTGCGTGGCGTCAATCGCGTTGTCTATGACATATCGTCCAAGCCGCCCGCCACCATCGAATGGGAGTAAGCCACTGCGTGGCATTTTGCACTGCCACCGGTCTTCGACTAGAAGGTTACAGACTAGAAGGTCGGTCAGTAAGGTCAAGCGAATAGAGCAACGATGCATACGTGTACACTAAACAAGTTGGGTTCTGCTCTGGCTGGTGATGGTGTTTCCATGCTAGCTTGAGCTTGTTTTCGATCGGCTGTGCGAGCTTCGCAACATGGCACTGTGTTGTCTGTGTCATAGACCAATCGTCGAGAGATGCACAAGTGTCGGACAGATCTGTCGTATCTGCACTCGACGTGAACACAATCGCTAGCAATACTCGGAAGCTGTGATGCATGTCGTTGCACTCAACTTCCCTGTGCTTTCTAGCTCCTCCGTCGATCCAAGAGCGCACCACCGCTACCATTGTCAAAGCTTGTGTAGGGTAAGGAAAAGCGCACGGCACGAGGCTCGTGGATTGACAAGAGATACGCAGCAAACACTGCACCGTCGCACTAGAGCTCCGCTTCGTTGATGTAACTCGAATAAATGGTCAGAACGCTCACTTTGCATTCCTCTATCTCGCAGGCCGCGCGTACAGTCGCCTGAACGTCAACGAATCGACGCGACGCGAAAACAACGACACAGTCGAGAGACCGCCAGCAGTCGCCTCTCTGCTTTTGTGTAAAGCTCAAGTGCACAGCCGAAACAGTGCGAGTCACTTGCGAACGAATAAGTTTCCACTCGACGTTTGTAGCTGACGAAATACCACTCGTTCGTCACTTTTCAAGTGGACCCACAAACCCATTTTTGGCTGTCAGTTGATCGCCAGCACAGCATAATGAAAGCAAAAGAGTTTGTCGCCTTTGGGTACGTGTGTGTGTGTCTCGGATCCATCTGATCGATTGGCCATACGCCATCTCCTGCTGCACCAGAGCGCCTCGTTTCTCCCCCGTATGTATACCTAACGCTTGTGCATATGCCGTCTCCATCGACCGATCATCTGCAGCAAAAAGATCGTCGCCATCGGGAAGAACTACGAGGCCCATGCGCGCGAGATGGGGGGCACTACGACTCGGAATAGTCCCGTGCTTTTCCTGAAACCCACGACCAGGTCTACTATTGCCACCTCCACATTTGGTGCACACAAGAGGACGCTCCCCTCGATGGTGACGACCACTTAGTAGAGGCCATACACTCACATGTGGTCTTGATGGCAGCTATGTACGCAATGGCAACAACGTGCTGCTCCCCCTGGCATTGGGGAAGTGCATCACGAAGTGGAGCTCGGTGTACGCTTTTGTGCAGATCGGTAGCAGTGCTACTTGTTCCAATGTGTGCTCGTTGCTGATTGACTGATGGGGGTGGAACCTCTGTGCAGGTGGTGATTGGGAAAGGAGGCAAGGACATTGCAGAGCGCGACAGCATGGACCACATCGCTGGCTATGTAAATATGCGCACGACCGCTCTTTTTTTTGTCGTGGCACATGCTGCGCTGACGTTTATTCTGGTAGGCGCTGGCAATTGATATGACAGCACGTGATCTACAAGCCAAGGCCAAAAAAGCGGGGCTGCCGTGGACACACGCCAAGGGACTTGACACGTTCACACCGATTAGCGACTTTGTTCCCAAGTCAGCGGTGCCGTCGCCCCACCATCTAAACATTTGGCTGAAAGTGGATGACGAGCTTCGCCAGAATGGCAACACGGCTGACATGGTGCACAACATTCCGTTCCTCATCGCTTACGTCAGCCGCATTATGACCTTGGAAGAAGGCGATCTGCTCATTACCGGCACGCCCGAAGGCGTTGGGCCTGTGCAACCTGGCAGCGTAAGTGTTTCATGCGTGCACGGTGCAGTGCTACGATCATATTGGGACGTATCTTTATCGTGTGTCTCGGCGTCTTCGCTACATGCAGGTGCTTACAGCCGGCATTACGGGGATCATCGACATGCGCTTTCCTGTCGAGTCGCGTGTATACTGATGTACGTGTGTAGATCTCACATTGACGTCTGCACGCAGTCTTTGTCAACCATTAGTATGATGTATGCGCTAACAAATGTCCACACTACTTCTGGCTGTATTCTATCGTTGCTATGGCTACTGATGGACAGCTTGGACTATTGCTTGGCTTCCCACAGCCAAGTCACGCGAACGGGCTATCCAGTCGAATGCAGGTACTTACGCATGCCACAACTTGCACAGGACAGACCAGACATGAGGATCGTCGATTGACGAAATCACATTCATTCGATCAGCTGTGCAGTGTTTTGCTGACGCGAATAATACGCCTTTATCTTATAGTACCGTAGACGTAGCACAAACCGCCTTTGATATAGTTTCTACAATTGCTGTGGATATGAGCTTGCCATACAGATGATGCGCTAAAGCGCGTGAAAGGGTCATCCAAGCTGAGAAAGTGACATTGAAAAAGTGGATGTCGTTGATTAGCCTAGACGAGCTCACGGTTTGATCAATTGGAGCATAGCTTGGCAAGACCTATCATTACGTGAGCTCATTGAATGGTCTGATGGCCGCGCTACCTTTCATGATCATTGCGATGTGGACCACAAGCTAAGTGTAAATCACACAGCTAGTTGAAGACAAAGCTCGGTCAATCAATCGATTGGTCACCAGATCGATAACAATCGGGTTCGACTCGATCCTCGATGCCTTACTCAGTACTGTCAGCCTAATTGGGGCTAGAGAAGCAGCGTAATTAGTGAAGGATCAGCACCCGCGATCTGACGCGCCCGATCGCGGTCTGCGATTTGATATACTTGATCTCAATTCGTACAGCCCAATCTTAATCTTCGACTCAATGAAGCCGCGACCCGAAGTACCGGGCCGCAAACCACAGTTCAAAATCCCCGATCGCGGTCCGGAGAGATGGTAACCAGTGTGGAAAAAATGAATATGGGGACGATCAGGAGGGAAGGGACGATTATATGGAAGTAGATCCTGACACAGCGATCGAGACATCCGATGGCTTATTACGTGCTTATCTAACATTCTGCAGAATTCAGTGTAACTCGAAGCACCCACGCAGACTTCTCTTCGGGGCTAGATACTCGTCTACCGACATATTAGGAAGTCGCATTCCCTACGAAAAAATGTCGGCCTAGGTTGTTTGTCTAGGCTACCAAGACCTCTCAACAGTCCCACAGCTATGATTGAGAGTAGCGGAAAGTCGAGGACTTTACAAGATCGCGAGTCGGCTCGAGTAGTCGGAAGATCAAGCAAGCAAGGACTATATACATGTGCAAGGCGATCTTAAGGTAAATTAGGTTGGCTTAAGCCGAATCCATTGATAATAACTGCGATCGTGATAAGATTTCTGCAGTATTGCCTGCGCCGGTCCTTTCATCGATTAAGGTAGACATGAGCCCGAGTCAATAACAATGCAGTAGCCGATCATGGCGGGGGGGGGGGTACACAAGGTGAGAGAGGAAACATCAGTACCAGGAAGCTGAGCTCTCCGAAAGGCGGTCTTTTTAGCACCATAGAGAGTCGTGGTCATAAAGAAATTGCGATTGCCTATTTATCACAATGGCGCACTTCCGGGTATTATGGTGGCTCAGTATTACGAACCTGCAAAGCTTTGAGCTTGACAGTTAGCCAGATCGGACATTGGAATATATTGTTCAAGATAATACTTGGCACATTTGTAGCTAGATTCAAGATATATCATCTTATTGCGTATCATTTCTGACAAAATAGTCTAATAAAAGGATGGCCTGCTTTTACCCCGTTTATGGGGGAAATGGGGTGATGTAGGTGTTACGCATTTGGAGTATTAGGGTGCAGATAACTTAATAATCAAACCGGTAGTATTTACACTTACGTAAATTAGCAAATAAACAGCACGTTATTTCTTGGTCTTGGTCAAATGTGATGCGACAGAAACGCACATTTTTGATCAATGACCAGCGAATTAGTTTTGTTAAAAAATCGTAAGAGAAGATATGAAAATGCTCCAATAGTCATTAAAATATATGTGTGCACATTTTGAGATAAAAACGAAACATGAAGAAGCAAAAATTGCACCAAATGTCAAAAATCAATATAATCACAAGAGACAAATAAGAGAATGCATTCAAAAATAGGTTTTTTAAAAGTGGCGACCTAGATCTATACGATTGCCCGACCATTACCATGCTTCATTAGGCACATGAAAACTATCGAGTAATCGTTCCTTGGAATTGCATTCTCGGCAGTTTGATCGAGTCTGGTCAATTTTTGGTATCCATTAATCAATCACTTGTACTTACTTGCGTCATGAACGTCGTTGCCACGCAATTGTCTTTGCCACCTAAGGCACAGACCCCACGACGCGATAAAGTATTCCAATCTGGCTTTGATAGACCAGAAATGCTGATTTTGTGGCATTGTCGAGCGTCATTATATAGTGCCATATTTTTGACATGGAAGGATAAACCCACTATCATTGCGTGTAGACATCATGTGTGTCATTGCTTCAATCTTCACCGAATCTGGACTACAATCTCCAGATCGGGCGGTTTTTACTAGAAAAAAGTGACATGTTTTAGTGACAACCATTACAATAAAATTTTATCGCGCGCTTTGTAGAGGTTCATTCAGCATTGCGTGTTTGCAAGGATCCGCGTGAGAACTTGCCATAGCGTTATAACATCCTATCAGATTCCATCATGATGTCGACTCTTGCCGACTTTTTACCACGTCGTCTGTAGTTGCCTTAAGTCATTCCTGACACTGTTTAACAGTCACATTGCACGCAGAAACGGCCTTCGTACCGCCAGTTGTAAGGAACGGTGATCGGGGAGTGTGTGAATAATGAAAATTCGTATTTGCCAATTTATTTCAAGTAAGGACTAGCATTGAAATGCTTGTCAGTACTTAGCAAAAGTGACGACACATGAACATTGCAAATGACATCCACGCCGATGTCCAAGACTTCACCATCTTGCGTGATGAAGTTTATCATGTTTGCATAAGCGTATTTGATCGCCTGGAAGCTCATGCATGTAATAGCAAATCGATGAGGGACTACATATCTTAACCTCAGCGCAATGATAGTTTTCATCGTTATGTCAGCTGGCATGGTAAAATTTGGAAATGTTTAGCCTCTATATTACCACGTCTGATGTACCAACTCAAGCCTAATCTTCACTTCGGGATAGTTCTCTTTGATGAAGACTAACCTCTGAGTTCGTTCACCGCTGCTTGATTGTTCCCCTTACTGATATTGGCTCGATTAATCAATGTACTCCATTTAAGCAAATTGCAGATGCCAACCATAACCGCATACACAACTGACGCGGCTTTGGATTCATATTCTATGGTAGAGAGGGGTGCCCTGCCTGGTTCAAAATTCAGATCACTGACATTTCTGTCACCTTATTAATACCTCCGGTAACAGACTTCTATTCAATCTTGTCTGCGGCAAAGACAAATCGTTGGTATTAGACTGGAAGGACCTACATGTCCGATAGCCCGTTGTCAAAGTTGTTTTGTTCCATTACGAAAATGGCTATTGATTGGAATTTGACGAGCACATGTAAAAAATATGCGTACGTCTCGCTACACGATGTACGAGGCTTAGCGACATCTGATGACTGGGCAGTAGTGACATATGGTGACTGTGCATTGCATCCTTGGTCAAGAGGGCTGACAACTCTCGTGACAACATTAGTTAATAGAACGCTTCGACCGGCATACCCCATCCGTATTTTACGATACGCTACGATGTCACGACTGTGCAGCAATCGTCGACCCGCATTCCTGGTCCTTCTTTGAAGACGGCTGGCGTTTCGTTCATTGCTTTGCGACACTTAGCATAAGGCGATGCAATTGTAAGTCTCATTCATGCCTGCAGTGCACTCTATAAATGTGGGAGCAGGTTTTTTCGCTTTCAAAATATAATAGAGCTGAAAGTATCTTAGAGCTTCGCTTCCTCGCCGTTGAGGTGGATGATAGGAAGCGAAGTGGCATGAGCCTGTCCATATTGAAATCCCTCTGCTTCGCCACATGAAGCCCATTATTAAGCGTCCTTGCTCTCATGCGGAATAGATGGGTCTTGGCGGAACCATTCGATATATCATGTCTGCTGAGCGTTAGCGTGTAAACAACTCGTAATCAAGCTCAAGTTCAACGGCTCATCTCGATCTTGCTTTCGGCAACTCTCTAGCGTTTGTTTAGCTAAATCGTCTACTATAGTAATATACAACTTATCACCAAATGGGTCGTGAGGCTTGATTCGTATAGCCAGGCTTTCGCACATCTATACAGATCTGTTAAAAATAACAAATCTTACACTCATCGCATTTTCTTTGATGCAATGAGCTTTGAAGGTGTCGACTAGCTCGGCAATCTTTAAAATGTTCTTTTAACTGCCTTGAATCCAGAATACATTATCTAGGTCTTCATTAATTAAAGCGTATGCACCAAAATGCTCCAACAGTATCAACTACTTGCTTTGAAGTTAAACAGTCTGAGCTTGTTACAGCCCTATTCTGTGATTGTTGGGTAACTGCAGTGGATTATTTGAAAAAATTCAATTGCGCTAAGCTCTTGTCATATTGATATGGCGGTTGCGGCACGTCAATTCTGGCTCTTTATAGGAGAACATCATGGCACTAGTCACAGTCCAGCCGACGACTGCGTAATACAGAAAAGTTGCCGTTCATTCGAGGTCACTAAATTAGCAAACGCTTTGACGCGTAAAGTGAAAGCGACCGCTTTCCACGGCTTCAATGGTAAAATGAGTCCGTACGTGCCAGACGGACCGCGACGTGCGTGCAGGCGTACAAGCACACTTCACGCCTTGCTGATGACAATGTAACCTATATGCATTGCTGACAGTGCGGAACTGTGCTTCGAGACCTCACGCACACTGAATTTGTAGAGAAGGAAACACGATCGACTACACGGCAATAACACTCGCTTTGTAAACACGATGCGGACGTATCAATCAGTTGCAGCCAAAACGCCGCCAAAAGCATCTTACCGCCCGCCAAAATACGGCCATACCGCTCCATTATAAGGCCATTCCGCTGCCAAAATACGGCCATACCGCCCCAAAATACGGCCATACCGCAGCATACTAAGGCCATACCGCTGCATACCGCCACGCAGCAAACGAGCTCTCGGTATGATCACCGTCTCGACCCCCGCGCGCTGCGCCGCCACTTGGTCGGCTTCTTCGAACAGCGCATGGACTATAAGACCGCCGCACTCGCAGCGCAGCTGGTGCCGGCCACGTACGTGCAACAAGGCCTCGACGCCGTCCGCGCGCGCCACAAGCTACTGACGGCGTTGCTGGCCCAGCGCTGCCTCCCGGACAACGGGTGGGACGACGCGAGCGTCGAGACGCTCTTGCAGACGCTCTCGGCCATGGACAGCAACAACTTTGGCGGCTGCGCAGGCGCAGGCGAGCGGGAGGCGCGTGTGTTTTCGACGCTCGTGGCGCGTCGACACTTTGGATTGGCGCATGGCGTGGGCCGATCCGGCGACGTGGCGGCCGTGCAGCCGAAAGCCGCAGGTTCGTCGCTCATGGTGCAGCTGGCGAACGCCCTGGCAAAGGACGTGCTGCGGCTCGCGGGCATGCGAGCTGTCCAGGCAGCGGTGGTGCTGCCCGTGGCGACCGGCATGTCGCTGATGCTCGTGCTGCTGCACCTGAAGGCGGCAAAGCCCGCCGCGCGCTACGTCCTTTGGCCTCGGATCGACCAGAAGTCGTGTTTCAAGGCCATTTTGGCGGCAGGACTGACGCCACTGGTGCTGGCCAATGTGTTGGTGAGGGAACCACGTGGCAGCTGTGGTGGGTACTTGACTACGGACGTGGCGGGGATGGTGGCCTTGATGGAGCAATACGGCAGTGACAGCATTTTGGCCGTCAGTAGCACCACGAGCTGCTTTGCGCCACGCGCGTATGATGCTGTGAAGGAGATTGCCGAGCTGTGCCAGCAACGAAACATTGGTAAACGGGTAGTAGCACCACCACCACCACCACCACGTGTGTCTGTGCTTGCATGCGCGATAGCTGACGACTTGCTGCCACTGCCATGTGTCTCGTGAAGCACACGTGATTAACAATGCGTACGGCGTGCAGGCCTCCACGTGCGTTCACCAGATCGACATGGCTATGCGCACTGGTCGTGTGGATGCTGTGGTGCAAAGTCTGGACAAGAACTTTCTGGTGCCAGTGGGTGGTGCAATCGTGTGCTCGGCGTCTCGTGAAGTCGTTGACAGCGTGGCAAAGTTGTATCCTGGACGGGCGAGCGCCACCCCCGCCCTCGATTTTTTCATCACCATGCTTCAAATGGTCGGTCAATTGACAACCTATCGCACCACGCATCCCAGCACTTGTTCTAACGTGCTGTCGTGCCCAATGTGTACATTTTCAGGGGAAAAACGGATACCGACGACTACTGGAAGAGCGCAAACACCTCGCAGCTTATATGCGTGAGAAGCTCGAGATGCTGGCTGCCGAGGAGGGTGAGCGTGTGCTGAGAGTCTCCACCAACGAGGTAAGCACCACTGAGTTTAAGCTGCGTCAGTGTTGATCCGGTGATCACTTTGCCGTTGTCTACGCACAGATCTCGTGTGCGATGACATTAGCAACATTCTGCTCGGACGTCGAAGATAGGCAAGAGAAGTCGCGCCGGCTGACGATGCTGGGTGCTATGCTATTTTCCCGTGGGGTGTCTGGGGCCAGGTAAGTCTAGCGCCAGTTGGAGGGGAAGATGTGTGTGCATCCGCCGCCTGACCTGCAAGTGCATGCTGATCCAGAGTTGTATCGTGCCTCGACCGCAAGAATATTGCCGGGTACGACTTCGACTCGTTCGGAGCGCACTACGACGAGTTTCCGGTGGCCTATGTCACTTTTGCCTGTGCGTTGGGCATGCAGCGAGGCGAGGTGGACCTGCTCATGACGAAGTTGCGGAAAACGATCCGCGACTGGCGAAAGAAACAAAAGAACGCGTCCACTCCGTGCACAGACGACAGCACCCAGAACCGACAGGACTGCCGAGCACGCGGAGCTAGTACAAAATGAGCATGACCGTGTCTATAAAATCTGTTGTCACCTCCTTCGTATTGGCTTCACGACTGACGCATAGCTGTGGTTCTAGTGCTTTTTGCCTGCGCTCTTAGGCTTCCGGGTTTTCTTTTTGGCCGCAGCCCCCGATCCGCCGTCTTGGTCGGCTTCCGTCTTGATCTCGAACTCCCCGAGCAGTTGGTTGGCCACGGCATCCGCTGCCGCAGCGGCATCCACTTCCCGGCGGCCTCTAGCCCCCTCCACAGCCTTCTCCGTGAACTTGGCCATGAACTTGGCAGACTCGATGACACGCGAGTCCTCATCACCAAATGCCTCTTTGAAAAGCGAGTATACCTTCTTCTCGTAGGCAAGAGCCTCGCGGTAACCACCTGCCAAGCTGCATGCCATGGCCATTTGGTGTAGCGTGTTCGCCGCTTGGTTGCGGTCAAACTCACCACGACGAAGAGATTCGCGATGGCACATTAACGCCAGCGAGATCTGTCCGACATCCTGGCACATCATACCCATCTTGAAGTAGAGCGAGCTGATCTCGGGAAAGTGGGGACCGCAGCAGAACTCGAGCAAGTAAATCGCGCGGCGGATGTGCGGCACTGCTAGATCCGTTTGGGCGTTTGCGTGTAGGAACAGCGCCAAGTTTGCGTGCGCGTATGCCGTGTCATGGTAGTCAATGCCCTGAAGCTGTGTGTACAGAGCCAGTGCCCGTTGTTGCTGCGCGATAGCACCAGCGACGTCGCCAGCGTGGTAGAGAACAGTAGCGAGCGACGAGCTGCACAGAGCAGCGTCTTCGTGGGCAGCGCCACACACTTGGAAAAGCAAGGAAGATGCTTCCTGAAGAGACTCGTACGCATTGGAAAGTGCACCCTGGCTCAAGTGCAAGCGTCCGCGCTCCAGAAGCTGCTTCGCCTGCGGTAACGGGTGGGCAGGTAGTGACGTCTTCACGACAGGCACAACGCCAGCGATGTCGTCCAGACTGATCGGCGACGGTGACGAAAACTTGTAGTTACGGCTTTCGACCCGCAGGCCTAGGCGCTGACACAGACGGCGCAGCATGACCATCTTGTTCGCACGGCTGGTAGAAACGCCGGTATCTTCGCCAGTAGACTCGTTGTGACCGGGACCCCAAAGAGCTAGCTCGTAGCCAAACCGGGTCTTGATCTCCTTGCCAATGCGCGCCCAAAGTGTCGCAGTATCCGATACAGCAGTTGTAGTTGTAGCATCATCGCCATCATTCGTGTCCGGGCTATTCACGTTTCCCGAACCCGATCCAAGAATACCGTTTAACAACTTCACGATCGCCGATCCAGGGGCAGCGCGGATGGAGTCGTCAGAGTTCAAGACGTCAGCCAAAATGTGCTTGGAGACGCGCGTGATCATTTCTACCTCAAGCATCTCAAGCATGTATTTGGAAATACCGCTAACAGCCTCAAGCTTCTTGGCAAGCGATGCCAGACGGCCGAGGTAGCGCATGTTGATACCGCAAGAGTGCATCAACTGCGTAAGAGCGTACCCATCAGCAGGGGCGATTGCACCACGCCGCACGTCGGCCACAAAAGCAGGTATGACAATCTTCTGGAGATACTCCGCGGCATCTTTTGCAGCCGCCTCATCGGCCTGCAGTTGCTCCGGGTCCGATGAAGCTGCATATTCCATGAACACGTTTGGATTCAACAGCACCGGGGGAACATCCTCGTCTTTTGCCTCTTGCACCTCACTCTTATCGGTAGCCACCTTCTCCGATACCGGATCGTCCTTCTTGATCGACAGAGATTCGTCCTTCTTCTCCGCTACAGAACCGTCCTCCTTTTCGACATCAGTCTTAGCGCCGTCCTCCTTTTCTTCTTCTGTCGTCTTGGCTTCCTTTGCCGCCTTGCGAGCCTCGCTAGCGGCGCGGCGCGCCTGATTCTGCTTCCACAACGAATACAGCTGGACCAACTCTGGGCGTAGCAAAGCCACATAGCCCTCATCGGTACGCACGATGCTCAGCCCGTCTTCCTCAGGTGCAACGGTTTTATCCTGTTCCGTCTTCTCCGCAGCGTAACTCCTTTTGTAAAATGTCCAATCCTTCGGGGTGATGCGAACCAGATCCAGAACATATAGACGCCCATCAGAGCCTTGAATGCCCTTGGCCTCGACCGCGCCACAAATGGTTGCCAAATCAGTGCTTGCTTCGCCACTGCTTTCTGGCGCAACACCAAGAGCCTTCTGCTCCTCCTCTGCAGCCAAATCCTCTTCGCTTTTTCCCAGAGGCTTGATAGTACGCTCCGCAATGTGCAACTTCGAACCTGCTTCGAGCATCAAAGCGTGCATCTTGCTGGTGGTAGCAATAGTCTTACCGTGGTCTACAGAACCGTACACAAGCTTGGAGGCAGCGTCTCCCATAAGGATGCCCGGGATCAGACTTTGAGCGATCACGCGCACGCCGAGGTAATCGACAACCGTTGTGGCCAAAGTGTGCAGGCCGCGCACGTCCGCCTCATTGAATGCCTTCACGCCCAGCAGGTCACGGTTAGCAGCCGAGTAGGCATTCTCCTCCCCTCCAGCAGCATCTTTAATCGATTTTCCATCGTTTGACACTGAGAAGAAAATGTTGTTAAACACGTAAACGTGCGCGCTCTTGTCATCCATGGGGTTGATAGGAGGGATGTTTCCCTCAACGATAGCGACAGCGCCAGACGTCGCAGCTTCTACGAACTCGGTCACGATCTTGTACATGACGCGAGCACGTACGATCTCTTCCTTGAGCGATTCCGTCGGCAACTCACGGCAGCACTGGTACTCCTCGTTCCAGTCACGTAAGACACCTCGCTCATCCATTCCGTATGACGCGCACAGTTCATCCTCGGCGCGATTAAGGTCGTACACGTGCTTTTCCGTTGTAGTAGTAGCAGGAGTATTCCATGGCAGCTTGACACCCACATAGGAACCAGCAGCGACCATCCACTCGATCGATGAAGGTCCTTCCTTCGCCAGGGAAGCAGCCTTTGCCAGGAGCGCAGCGTACGAGTCTCTGAACGTTGGTGACACCGAGCTCAGCAGGTCTGCCAACAGGTGCGTGTGGGCCCCATCTGCCGCAACTGGGCGAGGGTCAAACGTGGTGGCCGTCGAACGGTTTACAAAAAACCCATTGACATGTGCCGTGATGTGGTAGTGTTTGTTGTCACCGGCGACAGTCACCTCGAGATACAGCAAGTCACCTGCGAGTTTGCGTGGTCCTGGAGGCGGGTTGTAGCCCGAGAAGACGATGCTTTTAACACACACAGGAAGCTTGGCGTTCATCACCTGCTCCTGTTTCTTTTGCTCGCCGGCCTCAGACTGCTGCACCTGCGGCTGCGCTTTTTGTTTCTGCGCGTTCTTCTTCCCCTTTTTCTTCTTCTTCTTCTGGTCTTTGCTCTTCGCAGACCCGTCTACTTGCACCGTCTCTTCCTGTGCAGCAGGAGCAGCTCCTGGAAACGAGTAAAACTCCGCAAGATCAGGCACCACGGGCACTTCGATGCCCTCGAGCTTGTAGTGGATCTCCCTCAGTCGCTTCAGCTGCTGCTCCGAGACCTCCTTGAGCTTTCTGTCCTCCATCTCCTCGGTCGCCGTCACTTCTGTGTCGTGCTCCTTGTTCCCAGCAGCTTCTGATTGCGGCGCCAGCAGCTCAGCCGCCACCGACGGAATGGGCGGATTGATCTGCACGTCACGGAAGCGACGCACGTGCGCACGCACTTTGCGGGCGTCGTACGTGTCCAGTACCATGCGCAGCGTGGCGCCGTCCGTCACGTGCTCGTACTCGCCCAGCTCGACGTAATCGTTCAGCGGCTGCCACGTGTCGTCCCTCGTCGCACTCTGCGCCTCCAAGTGGTAGCACGTGTAGCACGCGAGCGCTGGGAACTCGGCAATGAGCTGCCGCAGCGTCACGACCGTATCCGCTGGACTCACGCTCTCGAGACGCACCGACTGGCCGCTGGCCGCCGTGGGAGGCGCCACGAAGACGCTGAACACCGGGTCCATGATCTCTCGTTCAGTCGGTTGCTGCGGCTCGGCGGTGTCGGTGCTGGCCATGCTGCTGCTGCCGCCGGCGGGAGGTCGGGTCGTCGTACTTCGGGCTGTCGAGCGCTGGGGCCCTTTGGATGCGATTGCAATGTGTGGTGCACAAACGACTGGGCGCTGTTTGACCAGCAAATGCTGACACCCACCGGCTTGAACGACGGATGGATTCACGTTGCAATTAATTGCGTGCAGTGAGTGCAACAACGATTTTGGCGCGGGGCCCAATAGATTTCGTCATTGGCCGAGTTTCACGTGGGTGTACTTTGCACGCGTACTTAAGAAAGAAAGGACGAATCAACTTGACGCGAACCTGTCTCGGTCGTTTGGGAATGGAAGCGCCAATGGAGGAACGTACGTGCTCGAAAAACACCGATGTGGGCGCAACGAATGGTACGTCGAACCTGTTTACAGGACGCACCAGGGCTTTCTCTTTGGAAAAGATCCGTCCTGTCTGCTGACCATATTTTTGACGTGTTTGACACGTACACTGTTTGCAGTCACCAGCTGCGTTCTCGAGCATCTTGCACGAGATTCGAGTTTGTACCACCCGTAACCACATGTAAAGATTTTTTTGTGCTATTGCAGGCGGTCACGCGGACGCTTGCCGACAAAAAAGGTTGCACGTTGATAAAGCACGCAATGCTATCATAAATTGTGGTTAACACCGATATCGCATCTGCCATTAGCATATAAAGATGCTAATGGCGGATGCGATATTGGTGTTAACCTGGATATTGCAGTATAATCATTCTGTGAAAGATAGACGCAACAATGATACTAGCAGTGGAGTATGCAATGCACACAAGTGTAGCAGCTCGGTCTTCTCGATCTACACCAATCATTCAAGACAATGTACTGATACATCGCGACGCTTTACTATCTCAAAACGAAGTCGCTCTACCTGCGAGGACATTAAATAATGCTCGCGCGATAGCTGTTATGTATTATGTGGCAAAGGTACCGTTATGTCAACAAATTCCACTTTGTAAGCTTATGTGAATATTAGAAACATAGGACTAATTTGCTATCCCCAAGTCGATATAAAGGCTTTTTTTCGATAATTGCTGCGATGCTTCCGGAAACACCGTCAAAAACATCTACATGCCCATGTGGTCCTAACATGTGTAGATAAATGGTCGTGTATGCACCACTGGAGCATTTTCTACTTTTTGCTTACTTGATGCACTATTTACCATCTTGTGGTGCGTTTTTACAATACGTCGGCGCATTTATGGATTCCTCATCTTGTAATGCACTTTCGTAATTTCTGGTGCATTTTGTATGTCCCTAATACTTTTATATATCAGACAGACAGATGGCCCGACAGGTAGATAAAAAGATCGATAAATCGATACGCAGATCGATAAGCATTATTGTATCGATAGTCATATCGAGGGGTGCAACTGTGCGTAGATAGATCGATAAACTCCTGTAGCTGCGGCTATCGTATCATCTTGCGCACACTCACCATATTTGTGAGTATGCAGTTTATTTTACAACTCTAGCCTCTCCTTTGAGTGCAGATGTTACTCATTCTGTCTTATCACATTCATTCCTAAGCCTTGTTGCTCACAAATGTATACATATAACGTCGCGTAATTTAACCACAACTCGGTCGTTACGGTGCCGCCATGGTGACAAAAGTCGCTCGTGGCTGAGTTCATTCAATGTTGCGTGGGCTACGTCTCAGCCATTTCAACCTTTCTTTTTGACTGTGTTGTAAGTAGTACTAGCTCACGAGTGTGCACAGGCTGGCGAGATCGTGGTATCGAGTACTTTCATCAATACATCGGAGATGATCTTGTTCAAAGATACGCAGTTTGTAACAATAACTTCACGCCCCGCTTGGTCACAAGTAACTTTATCCGTATTTCGAAGTGCTTGATTTAGCAGGTAATGATTCACCATTCAGATTCTTGATCGCGTCCTGCATGTAGTGTAACGGGGCACACCCTTGCGTGAACTTAACGCAAGGGTTTCGGGTGCCCGACAGATGTACACGAGGCGAACGAGGAAGCGTAGGGTAGGGAAAAGTAAAACTGTTGTATTAATATAATTAAGTCTTTTAACTACTGTCTCTCTGTTTAACTTAACTTAATTATGCTAATATAACTGAGTGTATGGTGACGTCTCGTCACCACTCATTGCGCGCGTCTTGCGGCGATTGGTGGGTTGATATCATCAAGATATCAACCAATGAACATACTCTTTGGTCGACCCTTCAATATCACCACTTCGGTGATATTGTTTAAAGAATATTCAACTTCATATTCTTTATTGTCACTTTCCTCAAAGTGACAATTCCATGTAACGGGCTGCCCCGTTACATCACCCCCCTTAACTGATAGTCACCGTGTGACTATCGAAAATTATGGCGGCCACCCGTTGGTCGCCATTGGGACGGGGAGCACTTGTTGGGTCTGTTCCATTCACTTTCCACTCGACCTCGCATAGTTAACATGTCTATGCGGGGTGACTCAAGGCACACAGAGTCTGTTCCTGTGCCAGCCTTTGCGGCAGACGATTCGTCGTCTGCTGCTCGTTCTTCGCCTGCAGCAAGAGGTGCTACAGGTGCACGCGGTACAGCACCGCGTGCGCATGATGACCCCGACATTGAGGTCATCTACTCTGGCGAGTCAGACGTATCTGACTCGGGCAATGCTGAAGAGGCGTCTCGCTCACCGGCGACGCCTCAGTGTTCGCCAAGGTCACTGCCGAACGAACGGACTCGTGAGTTGCAACACAGTCTGTTCGGCAGTGATGACGAATGTGATGATGAGTATGTTTGCTCATCACCGAAATCAGCTCGTGCTCCTTCGCACGAGCGACCTGACGATGGTGCAACCCATCGTCATACTGACAACCGTGGTACCAACAAAGGTACCACCGTGAAGCGTGATGAGCGGAAGCCGTGGCGTTTGCCCGAACGGCTCATCAATGGCTTGTCTCACGAGACAAGCCAACACCATCGAATACCCTTATTCGATGCGACTGAGCTTCACGGCTTGACTCCCAGCGCGAGCAACTTTCACGCTGAAGAAGACCTATATCTCGATGTCTTCTTTAGACATCGATGGTACAACAGCAACCAAAAGCATGACGAAGCCTCGCTTTTGGCTGCGTGGAACGCGTTCGTCCAAAATGTAAAGAATTTTGGACGAGAAGGGTGGCTCAAGAAACTTGAGGCGACACGCCTCAGGTTCGAAAAGCGAACGCCAACCGGTACCAGGTACCGATGCCAGGTACCGGTTGCACTGTTTGTCGAGTGAGGCAGACATTCCTTGCCTCACATGGGGAGACCCTTGTGCGAGTTGTGTTGACAACTCGCAGCGTGCACATAGGGACGTGTATTCCCTAAGTTCGACCTGGGGAAGGGCACACATCTCGGCTGAGATGCGGGACGCGATTGCAAACTTGCAATCCGTCTACAAGCGCCAAAAGCGCGTGTTTACCGATGGGCCCGAGGACTCATCGGATGGGTCTCGTCATACTGGCGGACGAGACCTTCAACATCCATCAACAGCTGAGAGCGGGGCTCCCAGCTGTTCCAAGAGGGTGGATACCCCCACCACTGGACGAGGTAGCTCGTCCTTGATCCTGAATCGTCACGGTGATTCAAGATACGCTCCACTAGAAAGCGTTGATCACCGTGAGCATCCACCAGAGGATGTGGTGGAGGAGGAAATTCCCCTCCAGAGCCCCAGGCCCACCATCTCGACCCTTACGAGATGGATCGCGCAATCGATGAATTGCGCGAGGATTTAGAGCACGAGAGGGACAGGCGTTACGCTCCGACCGACACTGTGCGGCAGCACCGCAACGATCGCGAGACCGAGCGTGCGAAAGACCGTGCTGATTACGCGGTCGCGCAACTGCAGGTCGAGCGCGATGTCCGCTTCCTCGCTGAGGAGATGTGGACGGTACGCATGGAGATCTCTCCCTCAAATAAAGAGATCTCTTCATTACGCATCCAGACTGATCGTCTGGAGCGCGAACGCAAGAGCCTGATGAAGATTCTTGAACGTGTGAGTTATCTTCATCGTTGGAAGAGGGCTCGTACTGACAGTACGGGCGGAGACGTAAACGTAAAACGTAAGATGCTTACGCATCCTACGTGGCAGTTCGATCGTGTATGCGTTGCCTTGTCAGCGCAGCACACGAAAGGGGCCGATGTACTTGGGCAGTAGTTTACTGCTGCCCACATTCGCACTACGTGTCTGGGTAGGTTTACCGTAGATAGCAGGACTAAGTCGCCTTCGACAAATAAATGTACATTTGCTCTTCCATTATTGTCAGCGTTCCATTTCTGACGGTCCACTGCGTAAGCAAATGCATCCTGTACGAAACGGACCACTGCTTTACGAGCCAGTAGAAATCCTTCTGCTTACCCGGCATTGTTTTATTCAGTTCGTCTTGTGCGAACTACAAAAAGAGCCCTTTCGTCTTTCTGTTCATCGGCGAGGATGTCGTCATCCTCACTGAAATAGTCGTTGGCGATGCTGGAAATACCAACAGTGTCATCAAAATATGTATCAATAATAGCGTCATCGCTTTTATTGAGGTGATCTTCTTCATCGATGTCGACTTGACCGACATCTGCATCATACGTGGCGAAGTTTGCGTCAGCAAGTGATGAGCAAGATCCAGAACGATTTTTGCTCGATCGAGTCCCCCTCCTATTCAAGAGTCACACTCTAGAAAGTTGGGCAGATGTGGATGACGTAAGCCATTCACGTAAAACGGTGTGTGCTGTGTTGAAGCATGCACCGAATTATTGATGGCGAATTCCGCCATGGGTAGGAATTTGCTCCAACTCGGGAAAGAGTAGACGTATCCTCGAAGGATCTCTTCGAGGACACGGTTCGTACGTTCCGTCTGACCATCTGTTCGGGATGGTCAGAAGTAGATATCTTCAATCGTGTTCCCAATGTGCGGAACACGGTTTGCCAAAATGCCGCCGTGAACCGAGTGTCACGGTCGGATACGAGTTCACGGGGTAACCCGTGGAGTCT